CTACTGAATCTTTCCTGTCCTGACACGATGATCGTTGCTTTAGGCACTGTGCTGCGCACCGTCTCGATCAGGCTCCTGTAGTCCTTCTTCAGAACCTCCATCTGCCACAGCCTGATGTCGTTCACTCCCGCGTGCAGCACAACAGCTCTGACGTGCTCGTCACCGTTCAGGATCTCGAGAACCTGTGCAGCGACATCTAGAACACGAGCACTAGGAAAGCAGTGAGTGCGCACCTTACCTTTACCTGAGGAAGCACGGACGTGACGGACCATGGAACTGCCGATAATTACGGCATCTTCGCCTTTCGACTCGTTATTCCGACTTGTTTATAAATCTGACAATTAGTTGGCACTGTCAATTTGTAAACTAAGACTATGCGCACATATGCATTCTTTTATTACAGTATTACTTTGTCTTCGGGGTAAATTTTATCTTCACAAAGCCAGAACCATTCATTGTAATCACGTTTTATGCATGTGCATGATGTCACCGTTTTCATATATTTGTGTTTTTGTAGTTTACTCTGAGATAAGGGTGTCGTTTTCAAAAACTTGCGCTTTGAAGCCCGTTTTCAAAAGTTTGCGTTTTCAAGCCACCAAAAGGCTGTAGTCGAGTATATGAATGACCAAAAACGCATAAAAAGTCTTCTGTTTTTTTTGAAATGTGTGTCGGGTAAACAGCCCTTTAAATGTCTAACCTACGACCTTTTGTTGTGGCACTGCTAAAAGGGACTCATTAAACTCTCCATTGGAAACCTTCAACCCTGTAAGTTTTATTTTATTTTTGACAATGTGCAATTCTTTTGTCTGTATGGACATGCAGCATTTGATTAACTGCAGTCAGGGTGGCATGTGTAAACAGGTCAAACAGAGAGTTTCTGTACTGCCATTGTTTTGCCCTGCAGTGTTAACATTTGACCTGCCCTGAGATGGAAGCCTTTTCAGATGTTCAGGTTTAGTTCATACTCCCACATATGTTAAAAACATAATCTTCACGGCAACTAAGCCTGAATATGTTGCATCTTTGTGTCTGTTGCTTGGGTGTTTGGATGCCTGCATCACTTTCTATTCTTACCTTCTTATGGAATAGAGCAGTATAAGGAACCACTGCTTACAGCATATCAACTTTCAGAGGAGCAGGCCCTGAGAAAACATATGAATGGGAGTTAACTGAGGTAGAAGATTATTTCCATAGTCTTGCCAGACTGCCACTGAGAATAGCACTGTGTTTGGCAAGAAATGCTGCCACGTTTGTTTTCATTCAAATGTCAAGCCTTCAGTAACCTGTTGGGAACATTTTGTTTTGCTACATTCAGATTATTGAGGTTGATCTTCGTGTTTAACAAGTGCTTAACCTGATTTGAAAAGATAATTAGTATAGCAAAATGCTGAAGAAGGCCCTTCTGTGGAAGCCAACATGGTCCATATAATGTATGAATCACTCCCTATCTGATTCCCCAGTCAAAGAAAACCAAAACGTGCATGCTTGTTTAGTAGTGTGTATTAAATATGGAGGTTTTAGTTTTTGAAAAATAAGTCTCTTATGTTCACCAAGACTGCATTTATTTTGAGCAAAATACAGTAAAAACAGTAATATTTACAAATTAAATTGTAAAATTAAAATGTAACCTATTCCTTCGCTTTCGGTCTTGTAAACTTACAATGCCTGCTGCCTGCAAGTGTCCATGACACCATGGGTTTCCCAGGGTACAGAGTCTGCCGACAGTCAAAGTGGCGTAATGAAAGTACAGAATTGTAGAAAGACCGCAAGTGTTTAGGGTGCCATTTGGGACAGGGCCACTGTGAATCCTGATCAGTTTATGTTTATCTTTGTAAATGTCTGATCCTAAATTAGTAGTGCTGTGTGTTTTTAGGCCGTTGTAATGTCCGTTGTCTTCCCTTGTCACTTTTCTCACGTTTCCGTTTCCTGCCCATAATGTCTTCCTGTGCTGAAACCCTCATACAATGGGCTGCAGGACTGCCTGACTAATACAACATGTCTGGTGGAATACTTTCCATAATGCTGATCTCATATCTTTTACTCAGGGTAAACTGACAGGATGGCCTTTAACAGTTATTGTCTTGATTTGTTGGGCTGTATGGGTATCATTGTAATATATTTATCCCAAAGACCCTGTCTAAATGGTGTTCTTGAATGATTCTGCCGTGTGAAGATCAGTTATACTAAATCACTCAATTTTTGTCTAAAAGTTCAAATTAGAGACATTGCAAATATCTTTTACTTGTCTTGAGTTAGGGCAGTACTGTTAATGCAGAAACAAAGGGAGAGGCCTTGTGAGAATAATCTTATTCAATGTGACATGAAGAATGTGCCAAGTCACAGTTTCTCTCAAGGATTCTGTGTCCTCTGTCATATTTGGTTTTGTCACTCGCTTATCCTCAGACGAACCTAGAATGATCCATCCTTGAACCAATAGTGTACAAATTATAGAGTACTGTTCTTGACTGTTCTCTGTTTGACCCTGCATTTGACCCTACCTGTTTGTGTCATTTTTAAATGCCACAAAAGTGGTTAATTCAGTCAAAGTTGCTCTTCTATCAGCTTGAATCAGTCGACCCATTCTCCTCTGACCTTTAGCATCAACAAGGCATTTTCGCCCACAGGACTGCCGCATACTGGATGTTTTTCCCTTTTCACACCATTCTTTGTAAACCACAGAATTTACCCTTAAACCTAGAACCCTAGCCATGCTCAAAATTGCTTAAATCACCTTTCTTTCCCATTATGACATTCAGTTTGGAGTTCAGGAGATTGTCTTGACCAGGACCACACCCCTAAATGCATTGAAGCAACTGCCATGTGATTTGGTTGATTTGGATTATTAAATGAATGAGAAATTAACCGGGTGTTCCTAATAATCCTTTAGGTGAGAATATATCTTTCATATTTTTTTGCCCATCTACCCTCACTTCTTTTCTTGTCATTCTTCATCTCTCTCATGAACACAACTGTGGGAATCTACTGTGATATTCAGCCTCTGATGTACAGTTTTAGACTGGGAAGTTTATGGTACCACATTTGCTGACAGTAACATTTTTGGCAGATCTATTACCCTGTATAATAAGAGGTTGAAAATAATTTATTGAAAGGATATATGCTTGCATGTGAAGAATGTGAAAAGTATACTGTATTTTTCTTAGTGAGATGTTGAGAGAATATGTGTGTCCCAATCTCTCCATAAAACCATGCTTGTTTCTCTTTTTTTTCTGTGGCATTTGACTTCCTGCCTGCTTGTGACATCCATCCAAGCAGCAGCATAACATTTTCACGTGTTCTTCATAAGTGCCATATATAAATGAGCAGATGTGTGTTTGGGGACCATCTATAATGTGTGTCTTCTTTTGACACTGAACTGTGTGGTGACGTTATCAGTAGCAAGCAGCTGTCAGTGATGCACTGCATCATTCTCCATGCTGTCATGGACTTTACCACTGAGCTCAGATGCCTGGCCACACACACACACACACAGTCTGTCTGCCCCCCTTTATTTGGCGATCTCTATTTTTCACTCTCTCCTTTTGCGTACTTGAGCGCGCGCGCACACACACACACACACGTATGTATATACACATACACAGGGATAGTAACTACAACAGAACACATCATAGTGACAGACTTTTGGTCTTTTGGTTGTCAAAACAAATCCTCAAAACATTATTCGAAACCCATGCTTTTGCTGAAAGCCAGAAGCTCTTCATCTGACGTGCTTCGTGACATTTCATCAAAGGTTCAAGTGGCCAGTAATATTTGATTCTCGTGGGACATTAACTTGGGCACAAAATGTACAAATATTCACAGTTCATGACCAGTCTGTGAATGAAGATGGTATCAATGTTCTCTAGAAACCACTTTTCATGGCTATACCAGACATCTGCCAAGTTGAGATTTATATGTTTATTATGTTAATTTAAAGCTGCTTTACACAAAATGGAGCCTTAAGACACTGTTTTGCTGAGTCTTGGACCCTTTGAACTGGGAGTTTCAAAAGTTTCGCTGCTTTAGAAAACATTACAAACACTTGTTTACAAATGATGCTATTCCCAGGCTTTGAGGAGTGACTGTTTATTAAACGTGTCTGCAAATTTTCCAAATGATTAATTGTTAGATGGTGAATCAGCTGGGCAATTTATGAAAGGCTGTTTGTGTAGCATGCGTTGTTGTTTGTGCATCAGCTTGTGTTTGCTATTGAGGAAGATCATGTGTCTGCTGTGCCAGTTCCTTTTAAGTTCTCACATGCTAACCAGCTGGATATAAAAACTCCAAAGGTTTAATTCCACCTTTCCGATGGACAAGTTAACCCACATAACGAATTGCTTATGAAGCTGGTTGAAAGAATTGTAGAAGGCCAAAGATATGATGGCATTTAAAGAAAATTAATTCTAAAATTGTTTTTGATTTACTTTTGATATTTCACCATGTTGATTACCATAATTTTGCTTCAAAATGTGGAAAATAGTAATAATAAAGAATGAGTTGGTGTGTCAGGGAGTGGACAACAATTTTAAATGCTTATCAAGAAGGTGAAAGTTCAGTGTGTTAAATTGTTTTAGTTGAATGTCTTTTTTTGTGTCATGACTAACCTGTCAATCCAGTGCTTTTTTTTTTTGTGAAAAGCATTTTTATGACTGGAATGACTGTTTACAGGCAAATTCCTCAAAATTATAAGCTAGTGAGATAATTCTTAAAGATCTAATGCTTAATAATGCCTTGTTTTTATCAATGCAAATGATTTACTTGTTTTTACCACCACAGAGTAGATGAGTGAGTTAAGTGCCAGCTGTTGAAACTAATTCATACTCTGTAGACTTTAATCTTTATGTCAGTTGGTAAATTACGTACATTAGGTGGCCATTTTCATTGCTGATCCTGATGAGGTGTGTGTTAAAGGGCTCTTTGAGAATGTGTCATTGCAATCTTTGCCTCTTAGGTACTGGTTGTTGATTGATTTATGACTTATTTTTTCTCTCTTCCTCTCATAGAGAAGTTGTATAACTCCCATGGCCCTGAGCTCCGGCGGTCCTTGTTTTCTTTAAAGCAACTCTTCCAGGTGAGATCATGAAACATACAGTACATACAACGAGAGAAAAATACACTGTGAATGAGTTGGATTAGGCTTGTAAGATATTGCATAAAGTGATAATAAAGAAGTTTACAGACTAAAAGAGAGAACTGAATAACTTGATATCTCATCCACACATATGTATTACAGTGAACTTGTATGCGGGATCACTTCTGCATTTAGCTGAAGGTGTGAGAAAATTAAGCAGAAAATATAATCCTGACTGAGGAAGTATCCCATTACAGGACAACGCAGTATTAATACAATCCACCTTAATATATAATAGGTTCCAGAAGCTTTAAACACATTTAGTGTTTTGCTTTATATAATATACTAAATGATATGTTAGAAGAACATTATATTTAGATGCTGGTATCCTTATGAAGTCTGTAAAGAGACGCAAATGAACCGTTTAAACTGGACACGTCAAAGCCAACTTTTTTTTTTTTTTAAATTCTTCCATTTGTCCTGTCGACAAACTCAACTCCGTGGAGCATGTCAGAAAGTGTAGAGAGAAACTGTACTGTTGTTGATTATAATGGGTTGTATTTGCTTTGGATGTGACGCTCACATCCAGTATAGGATTTTTTTAATGGTATACACTGTACACCAAGACCTTTTCATATGCCAAAAGATCAAGGCAAATTTGATTTCTCATGTGATGACCCCTTAAACAATACCAAAAATACTTATAAAGGTCATCTAATGGGTTCATGTCGGGAGAGCATTCTGTCGTCTTTATTATTAGTTATGCAGTTTATAACCTTTAAACACATGATCATGGTTGTAAACCGAAAAATATTCCATTGTCAAAGCACGTTTATGCAAACATACCATGTCACAAACCGTTTGCATTGGGGTTGATAAGATTTTTTTTTAATGTTTTGAAATGCATCTCTTTTCATCACCAAGGCTACATTTTATTTGATCGAAAATACTGTAAAACATTAACATTGTGAAATATTTTTATGTAAATATCGTCAAATTAATGCATCCTTGCTAAATAAAATGATTACTTGTTTTTAAAAATCGTACTCACCGACCGCACAGTTTTTGAATGGTATTGTTGTAAATTGAAGCAGATTTAATTCTGTTTTATATTGCACAGGATGATAAGGACCTGGTTCCAGAGTTTGTGCTCTCCGAAGGTCTGACATGTTTCATTAAAGTGGGTGCTGAAGCAGATCATAACTACCAAAACTACATCCTCAGAGGTTTGCTCTCATATTACCATTGCTACAAAATCCTTGTCTGATTAAAAATGTTAGCAGAGCTATTGATGGTTCTGTCACTAGATGTGAGTGAGTGTGTGTGTGTGTGTGTGTGTGTATTATCGTCTTGAGCTTCTAAAAAAAGCAGTCTGTTGTAGAATATGATGTATTGTACTTGCATCTTGCATGCAGACTTCATACTGTATAGCACAAAGGACTTTTTGGCTAACTAGGCCATCTGTTACAGGAAGTTTATACTGGCTGGAATTAGACCAGCAAACAGGAAAGCTTTTGGACAAATCACTTGATCTTTAAAGGCTAAAATCTGCTGTCCTGTTCACAGCTCTCAGTCAGATCATGCTGTTTGTGGATGGAATGAACGGTGTTGTAAACCACAACGAGACGGTACAGTGGCTGTACACATTGAGTGGCAGCCTGGTGAGTGATGGCAACACAAGCATGCATCTCGATCTATCATGCCACAGCATCTGTAAATAGATACTGACCACAATACTGTATTAGTTACGTTAGGGCTTTGTTATACATATAAGCTCTTAAATACCACCACATGTCAGTCGATTAATAATCAATAGATTAATGTGCAGAAGTTGATTAGTATATGATAATCATTTGATTCCTGACCATTGGATGACTATAGATTAGACAAATAGATTTCTATAGCTCAAACAGTGCTGAAGTACAACAAGCTCATGGGTTTGTTTCCTTGTTGCTTTCTATTAAAGAGTCTTAATGTGAGAAAACAAAAAAGGAATGCACAACACAGTCAATTCATCCTAAGGCAATGTAATAATAGCAAAAAATATAAGTTTGGCCAAAAAAGGACAAGTTAGTGCAGAGATGTAGGTGTGAATCTGGACCAAAATCAAGTTATTCGATCTACACGTTCAACCTTAACCTCTTATTAAAGTTAAATGTTGCTGTTGTCGCAGAATAGTTTGCCAGATCCACCACAGAAATGACTATTACAGCTTACTTGATATTGAAATGGGGCACAATAAACTGGCTGGTGCTGTTGTGCAACCATTTCAGGTTTAAGGATGTTTTATGAGTTTCCATCATTAAAGTTTAAAATACTTATGCATTGTTTTGGAAGTTTCTTAATGTAAAGTGAGTGTGAATCTGTTGACATGAAATTTTTACACTTTTTACCATAATGGATTCAGTCATCTTGAGCATCAATTTGAGGTTATGTCCTTCCACGGGATATCAACGAGGAAGTGAAAACGACTGGGTAATCTAGTAACTATCAGAAATAAAGCCTGAAACAGACTTTGTTTTTTTTATAACAAACACTAGAGATGAATAACACAATTAATGTTGGAGATGCAGATTTATCTCATCCTTGCACATTATTGTGTGCTGTACTTGGTTGCATTAAAAGATTGAGGTTTGATACTGCCATCTTCTGTATGAGGACTGTAAGTGCGGCCTGTTTATTGCCTCTCTCTCTCTCTCTGTCTCTTTAGTCTCGGCTGGTTGTGAAGACTGCTCTGAAGTTGCTGATAGTGTTTGTGGAATACACCGAGTCCAACAGTCCACTCCTCATTCAAGCTGTCAACATTGTGGATGGAAAGAGAGGTTAAACATTTAAATCTTCTCTCATAATACTGATTCTCTGAATCCATCATGTGCCATTTAAATATTTTGTGTATGTTATTATTAAGAAGACACTTTGGGTTTTTTGTTGGGTTTTTTGCTGTTGGCCAAACTGGAAGTTAAAGTTTTTAACCTGCCCTCCTGCTTCCTGTTTCTTTAGGAAAAAAAAACAACGACTAATTAATAATTCACTTATTAATAATTACATAACACATGATTTAATATACATACTTTTATGGGAAAGCAATGTCACGAGGTACAAAACCTTTTTTTTTTTTTTTTTTTTTTTTGCCAATTCTGACTTAAACTTCCAAGATTATGTCAAGAATCTTTGTTACCAGTTATATAATGCAACATATTCTGGTCCACACAATTGTTTCAATGTATCAGAAAAATACAGATGTTTTTGTTTGTGAGACAAAAAGGAAGATAGACATAATACTGGCCTGTTTGATCCTATCAGCTTGCTGAAATGCTCTCACATTGTCACTGAGCCATCCTTACTATTTTGATATGAACGAACTACACTGGGTATGTGTTCATTTTTGAGAGAGCTTAGTGCATAATTTGTCTCTTTCAGGTGTGAAGCCTTGGACGTACCTAACAGATATCCTGTCTGCGAAGAATGGATCAGACACAGAGCTGCTCATCTACACTATGACCCTCATCAACAAGGTACTTCAACATGGATAAACTGACATTTATTAATCTATAACCATAATCTATTGCAGTTGCCAATGCTGCACCTCAATGCTCTTGATGTGAATTTATTCCTCTGTTCTCTCAGACTCTGGCAGCGCTTCCGGATCAGGACTCATTTTATGATGTGACAGACTGTTTGGAGCAGTTAGGAATGGAAGGCATCGTCCAGAAACACATGGCTAGCAGTGGCACAGAGGGTGACCTTAAACAGCAGTTCACCATTTATGAAGTAAACTCGCAATGCACTTCATGCGCTCCATATGGCATATACAACATATACACTAACTGTTCAATTTTTTTTAAAGAGGAAATATTTTTTATGGAGCAAAGAGATCATTAAAATGATCAAAATCGTAAGCAGCAAATCATCATAATGATTTCTGAGGGTTCATCTGACACTGAAAACTGAAATCATAATGATGCTGTAAATTCTGCTTTAGCATCCCAGCAATAAATAACTTTTTAAAAGTAATTAAAATGGAAAACAGTTATTTTAAATTGTAATACACAATATTTCTTTTTAATCATTTTTGATCATCAATGCTGTCTTGGTGAGCATAAGAGACTTATTTCAAAAACATTAAACTTTTGATCGAGATTGTAACTCTAAAAATACTGAATGTTTTTTGCGTTTTGTATATTTTGTAGAATGCCCTCAGGAATGAAGATGACGAGATGGATGATGGAGCACCTAACATCCGTAGAGACCGACGGAAACTGACCCCCAGCGAGCAGGACGGCAGGAGGAGCCGGCGGTCATCTTCTCACAGTCTCCCAGATAATTCCTTTCGACCCGCTTCCCCAACCGTATCCGTTTCTTCTAATAGCCCTACACTAGGTATCTTCAATTCAGTCTCTCTCCGTCCCCGTTCTGTTGTCCACTGAAGGTTGTTTTGCTTGTTTCACACAGCCAGTGTCTGTACATCACTGTTTCGGATGCTATATTACCAGATTATAGCATTAACACTTCACTTGCATTACCTGTATTTCAGAGGTGATGCGCACAGCCTCCCCTCAGCAGTCAGATTCCTCTAATTCTCCCGTTCCTGGCAGTCCTGTATTGACCAGCCCCTCTTCTACAACATCCGACTCCCCAACTCCACCCCTCGCTCAGATGACTAGCGGAGCTGAGACTGTTGCCACCTCTGAGCAGGAAAATAACTTGTGAGTACTAACAGTGTGATGTGTTTTTATGCATTATCACGCATTCATAAACAAATCATAATATGTTTTGTTATACAATGCCTTTCAGTAATCAAAAGAGAAAAACAACAGTAAATATCCCCCCAATGCATTATAATGTTTGTCCACTTTGGGGTAGTATAACCTAAGCAGACTTTCATTTTTATTTTTTATCTCTGGCACTTTAGGAAATAAAAGGTTTAATGAAGGATTTAAATTGGGTTTGATTTTTAGTTACGCTATTGTCTCAGATGTGAATCCAGTATGAGAAGGATTGTCCAAAGAAGGCAAAGGTGTGCCTCCCATCATGTTCTCACCCTATAATGCCAATAATTCAAAAACAAGCATGGGTTCATCAAATTGATTTAGTTCATGTTCATACTGTAGGAAAAAAGTTGTGTATAGGCAAGTAAATCAATCAGTAACAGCTTTACTATTTTGCATAATTGACTAATTAATTTCCACACATACCAGCAGTGTTATTTTAGTATTATATACTTAGTATATCATAGTATTTATTAATATTTTGAACAGTTTTTTTTTTTTGTAAAACCTGACCCACAGGAAGCAAACACACATTTTACTGACTGAATTTTACTGACCAAACCAAACATTCCTTCCATATTTGTTTAATCTTTGTCTGTATGCGTGTTTGTCCTGTGTGGATGGCTGTGTTATAGAGATAAACACACATTCCTGCACTCTTCTGCTCTCTTCTTTATGCAGACATAAAGCTACAGTATTAATCACACTCTAATGGTAATACTTGCACAGTTTTTTTTTTTTATATAATAGTTGTCACACATGATGGAACATTTGATGAGTAATACCTACTTACATCACCTACTGTTTGCAGCTTTACTGCACAGGCATTATCAGAGTCTAAAAAGATTTTACACATGGCCAGATTGGTCAGTGGTTGATGCTGATGCAGTACATGGAACATTAGTGGTAAATTGTGTATTAATTCTCCAGACTGCAGGTAAAGTAATCCTTATACAGATGACCTAATTACCTAGATTCATAAGTAGATGTTCATTTTATTTATGTTCTGTGAGTCTTATTTAATTACCATGTGCACCCAAGATGCAGCACAAATTATGTACAGACACTTACTGTAAAACAATCCACCATTCTCATTATTTATAAGCCATTTATATAAGCACAATTCTTTCGCTTAAGAACATTTCATTATTGTCAGGTGTTCCATGCTGGGTTTTATAGATGGGTCAACTGGAAACAAAAACAGCCAACCAAAACTTCTCACATACCCCAAGTCACAAGAAGACATTTCACTTTGGCCAAATGCAACACTTGAAATAGCACAAAGAGTCAACAGTCCTTTCTTTGCACATATATGTGGAAAGTGAATGTTTTATTTGGGAAGCTTTCTTCTCTGCGTAGGGCTACAGGAATGTTTTGTAAGGTTGGGCAGGATGTGTTTGGTCTTTAAGGTCCTGAACTGGGCACAATTGTTGACTGCCTATCAGCTCTCTTGATCTGAGCTTGTTTTCCTCAAAATGTTTTGCCAGTTTGATGTGATGTCACTAAGGAACATGGCCAGTCAAAAGCACAGATATTAAATCCCAAAACACCCCAATTTATATGTTAGTTTCCTAAATGATATGATCATTTAGTGATATATAACTAAATTGCATAATATATAAATGATTATATACAATACATAGAGTTTGCACTATTTCTGAAATATCCATGTGTCATAAATAATCCTTTAGAGTAAGTGTTTGAAATGTTTAACACTGGTGACTGATCACTTTTGGGATTCTTAATTTTAACCATTTCTATTCATATGCCGTTTTCCTCCTCTTCTAATTCAGTACTCCGTTATTTCTCTATGACTCTGCGTGGTGATGGGACTGTTATTCTCTTATTCTTGCTGATGTTTTGGTCCTGTCAGTGTCAACATATTAACCCTCTGTTTGTCCATGTAACCACCATCACTGTTCCACCTCTTTTCTCTCCATTTCTTTTTCTTCCCTCCCACAAATCCTTGGTCATTCACTAGGGGGCGCTCTTTTATGAGTCAGTACATAGCTCACATGGGGATTTCTAGACGGAGGTTAAAAAAGGAGAGGTCAATAACTGAGGAAACCTCAAGAATCTCCAACAGGTCTGTATCACATTTTACATCACCTTCTGCTTTTGAGACTTTGACTAATAATTTGGTGTTTGTTGAACTTGTCCTGGCTACTGATGCTGATACTAATGCCAGTTTAGAGTTCATGTTATACACGAAATAATCTGGATTTTTGATTATAGATCCAGGTGTTCGGTCAGCAGGCCAAGGGAACTTCAACAAATTCATCTCATTTCAAACTTTTCTTAACTAACATTTACATTTTACAGTTTTTGTCTCACTAGCATTAATATCTGACATTAGACAAGGTACATCACAAACTTAAAAGGTGATCTAGTCACTACATATAACAAGAATACAGAAACGGAGTATGAATATTACATAATAGTCCTCTGAACAAATAGAGACGGGGAGTTTTTTTGGCAGTAGCAGAAGTGGATTACTGCAACACACTAAAGAAGTCCTGAAAGCTGCTCTCTTGAGCAGAACCGCAGAAGAAGCCTCTCACAGTTTTCTGCTCACTGCAGCAATGTTGTCAGCTTGTCTGCGAAATAATAAGTAAAAGTCCTAAGGAAGCAACAGGGTTCAATGTGATCCATCTGAAGAAACATCTAGATTAGCATACTGGTGTTACAGCCGCCCAGTGCTGATAGTCATTTACCACTTTATAGAGTGATACTGATATACTTAATGATTATATGAATTAAAATCATTTGTCGACTTTAATAATAGTTATAGAATCGATAAAGAATTAGAGTGATTTATTTTTTTGAGGGTACAGCAAGGTTGTTGTTACTTAATTTATTCATTGATGTCATCTACTAAAAAATATATATTTTTAACTAGGTTACTGTTCATTTCATTTGGAAGGAAATTAATATTTCTTCTGCAAATATGCATTATATTGATAAAAGGGGACCATAAAGACATTTACATTATTTAAAAAAAGTCTAATAAATGCTGCAAAAGAGTCCTGTAAAACAATTAGTGTGCTTTACCGAAAATTATGCTGTTTCAGATCATATTACGAAATGATTTTGAGCATCTTATCAGCATATTAGAATGATTTTTTGAAAGATCATGTGACACTGAAGACTGGAGTAATGATGCTTTGCATCACAGGATTTTTTTTTTAATTTTTAATTTTTTTTTAAATTAAGTTATCTGAAATGATGATATTTCACAATTTTACTGTTTTTACTTTTTTTTTTTTTTATCAGATAAATGCAAAATATGAACGTTATCTGTTGATTTTATAGAATAAAACAATGTGCCTTCAAAGGTATTTTTAGGAGTGATTGGAGAGTGTTTTCTGGCATGCACATTCTTTTTGTGTTCGTGTGGACCTGATCACATGAAACTGCCCATACAGTGCTATTGCCTTGAGCTTGCTCTGACTAACTGTCTCTCCGCAGAGCGTCTTTCACCGAAACGGACTCTCCTCAGGAGATCCCTGCCCAGCCAGCTGCAGAGCAACCCAGCCGGACAGAGGGAAAGAGAGTCTTCAAGTAAGTAAACAACTGATGCTCTTGTAAGAGGAATGAGGGGGAAAGGCAGAGGAAAGAGATGTGAAAGGATATGTAGGTGTTAGAGGAGGCAGGGCGTGGGAATATTTTGGGAACAACTTGAAGGTCTTGAATGAGTTGAAGGGCATCAGTGAACAATGTGAGCTGTGATAAAAATTTCATATGTGGGAACTGCTGTAATAACTGCCGTTCTAGGTACGTTTTTACTTTTTGATGTCTCAAAAAAATATAAAAATTGGCGTTTTAGTCTTTAGACTTTTAGTTAAATGCTGTTAACTTATAAAAATGTCTAAACTGAGGATTAGTCCTCTTTTTTGAATAAGATCAGGTGCGTTTCTTGCTTTCGTCTTTTACTCAAACATTCTTTGGTTGTGTTAGAACAGATTTGCTTTCTTCAGTGTATTCTTTGCCTGTTTTTGTTCTACTTTTCTTTCTGTTTTTTTTTTTTGCCAATTACCTGATGATGTTTTCTCTCTGTCTCTCTTTGTGTGTATCTTCTCTCACTCCTCTTCTCTTTTCCCTCATAATATTTGGCACATCTCCTAATCTCTCTCTCTACCTCTGTGGCGCCCAACATTCCTGCGCTTCGCTTCTCTCTCTCCTTTTACAGACAGCACCAGGCAGACAGTTTTTGGTGAGTAGCTGCAGTGTGGCCAAAGAATGTGGCTTTTGGAGGTGCTAGCACTTTAAATCATTGTGATGCTTAGTCATTTTGAGGAGACAAAGTCATAAGGAGGGAGGGTTGGAGGAAACAACTGCTGGCTGGCTGCTTTGAGAATGAATTGGATCAATCCATTAAATGCGCTAACGTGATAAGACTAATCCACAATTTATTTTTGAATACAAAGTTTTAGGTTTGTTATTCAGATGTTTATTATTTTTGATATTTTAGACAGAACACTGGTTTAAAAAAAGAAAACTTTTTATTGTCGTAAATGGACAATAATTCTTCCTTGTCTGACTCCTCCCCCACCCCCACCCCCCCTTATTATCATTCTTTATTCATGGGAAAAGTTCTTCTTTTATCTAAAGTTCTTACTCAAAGATGACTATCTCTTGTTTTTGTGGGCTGCAATCATTTCTCCATATTCATGGAAAAATTTGCTATTGTAGAAAACCAGAAAAATCTTTTTTTCTTTTCAAAGCTTTAAAAGCTCAAATGATTAAAAAGTAGTTTGTAAAGGAAAAAAACAAAACATCTCTTAAAGGAAAAACACATACATTTCTGAACCGTATGTGGTGGAATGTGCACAGTTTCTTTTTAAGCCATTTTCTAAATATTGAATGAGACTTGTGCAGTGAAGCTAACAGGAATTGATATGGACATTGTGTGTAAACTGAAGTGTTTCTCTTCAGTCCAGAGAGTGTGAATAGAGACTTGCCGGTTCTGAGGAATTTAGAGTAAGTATATTGCCGATCTTTATGTTTACAGGCTCTCTTTTTGCATATATTCAGCATGCGGCCGGGTGTTTGGGGACTAATTCAGCTGCTATGCTCAGAAACTGAGGCTGTGTGGGTTTGTGTGCTGTATGTGAATGTTAACTTTTAAATGAATTTTTAATTTCATATAGTGTCATTCTTGTAATATTAATGATTCTAATATGGTTTGTCAGCAAGCTTTAAGACAAACAAAAAGATTTCATGATGATGGTCATTCATGTGAAGCGTTTCATTCTTTTACACATGCCTCGGTGTAACTGAGCTTATACCACAACTCTTCTGATGGATCACTCTGGGGAGAGTTAATGCTTGAATCTGTTAATCAAACCTGATCAGCTTTGTGGTAATTGAAACAACAACGAATCATGCACTGTGTTCTACATCATCTACAGGGAAATAGTGGTGGCTTGTGGTTTTGGGGTTGTGAGGGACAAGCGGCTTTAGTGGTGGTGGTCTTTGTCAGACACTTGGCAGTATTTCTGTGGTGGGATGTGTTTAGATTTATAAAATGTATGTATTTAATATGCAACATTGCCTTTTGTTTTTTGTGTAATTGAATATGTCTGATCTATTGTCTCTCTGAAATATAACTGCATATTTTCAGGAAAGTGTGTATTAACCTTTGAAATAATCTCTTTTTTGTTGTGTTTATTGTACTAAATGGAAGAAAAGTGTGGACAAACCAAAAGGGGTTCAGTCCTTAAAGCTTAAAGGGATAGTTCACTTTAAAATTAATTTTTGGTATATTTTAGCTTACCTCAAGGGCATCCAAGATGTAGCTGTCTTTGTTTCTGCAAAGTTTCAATTTTGTTTTGTTATGCAAGTATTGAAGACACAAAACGAACGAGCAGTTTGTGTGAGAAAATGAACAGTATTTATATTGTTTTTACCTCTTGTAACCACAGCCTAGTACAAGTGATCTAACACGTGTCCTAACTACACGCGACGCGATAAAATTTCAGCGACAGCAAGTGTGTCTGTCCACACTAGACGCGACGCGACTGTGAGATGCCACACATTCAGAACAGCGTATGAGCTTATGGTGTGAGCAGAGTCTCTCTGTGAAAGCGCACTGTTGGCCCGCACTCGCATTGAATATGGGTAAGGACATAATCAAATCAAGAAATTACATTATTAAAAATCAAAACATTAACAAAATATACTCATTGACTAATTTTGTTATGAAGTACAGTCGTATGTTTGCATAGAATTCATTTTGAACGCTATATTGCATGCTTTCAAAATCTGAGGTAAATTATCCGTTATCGCTTGTGGCACAGTGACCTATTTTTAAATAATGTGTACTCATAACCAGTGTAATTTCTTCATTCTGTCAGCCGCGACGTCGCAGAAATAGGAACCATTTCTAAATTAGAAACTTCGCGTGTCGCCGTCGCGTCTGGTTAGGACAAAAACTCTGATTAACATGGAAAAGATACCTTTTATCGCGTGTCGCGGCGTCGCGTCGCGTGTAGTTAGGACACGGTGTAAGGGTGCGGGCGCTTCGATCTGCGCAAGCGGATCCTTTACCTTTCACTGTGAAAATCTAAACAAATTTAGATATACATGAAATCGCAATGGAAGACGATTTCAATATATCAACAGACAACGTTGATTTTTTTTTCCGCAACCGCGAGAGAGATCACTTCCGGCACTTTCCGGCGCTTGCACAGAACAAAGCGCCCGTGCCTTCAGATCACTTGGACGTGGCTGTGGTTACAAGAGGTAAAAACGATATAAATACTGTTCGTTTTCTCACACATCGCTCGTTTCGCGTCTTAGGCTATCAATGTTTGCATACATTTACGAGTCATTAAATCATGTTTAATTTGGACTTCTCTGTGCATGCTCTTTGAGGTGGTGACCATAGACCTGCATTATATGACTGATAGACACAAACGGTTTGACCTAAAAATATCAAAATTGAAAATACGGTGGAAACAAAGACACCTACATCTTGGATGCCCTTGAGGTAAGCTAAAACATATCAAAAATTAATTTAAAACTATGTGACCTATCCCTTTAAATTTACTTAGTGTATGCCTTTATAATTTGTACTTGTTTACCATTTCACTGTATTCTGCAACCACTCATTTCAGGGCAGGTCTACTATACAACTTATCCTCAGAATCAGAACATTTATTGCATCCAACCCTCCATTTACAGTTCAGTAAATGAGTGCTTCTTCTCCGATGGCTTTATAGAGACACGTTCTTGCGTTCTCTGGCTGTGTCCCAGTGGGAGAAGAAAAAGAAGTCATTTGCCGCACAGGAGAAACCTTCTCTGAGGGAGAGTGTGGCGTCTACAGAAGCAGAGACGTCTACTGAAGCCGAGCAGCCGGTCTCCAGCTCAGACGCCACAGGTGCTGATTCCCATTGTCTTATTATTATATTCTCCTTTATATATTCTATCCCTCAACTTCTCTTTTTGTCCTGTTACGCTCCTTCTCTTCCTCTGCTTCTCTTACTTTAAATCGTCAAGGTTCCAGTCATTATTCAATGTCTTAATCTCTCTGCTTTCCCACTGATCAGTGCAGCTTTATTAAACCGACTACATATGAGTGTGTGTGAGAGTATTTGTGGTCATTTAATAGTCTGTTTGCTTGTGTGAACTGTTTCTTGAACGGGTCTACACTCTGTATGTCAGTTCCTCAAGGTTTTTGCAGCTACTGTTAATGGCCATTTGTGTTCTGATTTGGTCTAGAGCAAATTTGCCATTATTATGTAATGTGTCCTGCTGAGATGCATACCTTTTAGCAGCATTCCAACGGTGATGGTTTGAATGCTTATTGAAACTGCACACTTTAATTACTGCTTTTGTCATCTGGTTTGTGTCCAGCATAGATAGGAAGTTGTTCAACTTGATTGATGCTGTATGGTTGAGAATTTGTTTTGTGTGCGTGTTCTTCCTCTGGAATCATAGGTCTTGTAGGGTTGAAAGTTTCAAATTTAGTAAGAGATGTTTTTTTTTTTTTTTTGGTTATGGAAGCTGAAATTATAGTTGGACAACACGTATGTAACCAATAGTTCAACATCACTGTTGCATTTGTCTTTCATCCACAGAAAAAAATAAAATAAAATATATATATATATATATATATATATACAGGGGTTGGACAATGAAACTGAAACACTGGCCAATGTTGGAGGTTTCACATCTATATGCCTGGCGGCCAATCTTCAGAGTGAAGGACGGGTGGATCAGTGATGGTTTGAGCTCCAATATCATGACAATCCTGATTGTATTTGATGGACACGACACTGCCGAGGACTACCAAACCCTTCTGGAGGATCATGAGCACCTGATGCTCAAACCGTGTATCAGTATGATCATGCACCAACACACACAGCAAGACTTGTGACAGAAGGGTTTGATGAAGATGAAAGTGACGTTGAACATCTCCCATGGTCTGACAGTCACCAGATCTGAATATTATTGAGGTGTTTTGGAGGAGCGAGTCCACCAGCATCATATAGTGACCTGGACACTGTTCTGGAAGAGGAACGGCTCATAATCCCTCTGGTCACTGTGAAGGACTTCTATCTGTCAATTGGTGCTGTATTTGGATGCAAAATGAGGCCCTCACCATTCTAACAAATTATTGTGTTGTAAAACCAGGTGTTTCAGTTTCATTGTCCAACCCCTGTATATGTATATGTATATCTATATGTTTGTGTATATATGTGTGTGTGTGTGTGTGTGTGTGTGTGTGTGTGTGTGTGTGCGTGTGTATATATATATATACTGTGTATATATATATATGAAGAGTTCAGATGCAAAAGCCTCTAAATGCCATTTGAAATTTTCTTCTTTAATGATGATTTTTATCAAACTTGTATATTTAAGTTCAGTAATTTCACTTAAATAACAATTAATAGGTAATTATCATTGCCATTTAAGTGAAATCACTGAACTTAAATATACAAGCTTGATAAAAATGGTCATTCTAGAAGAAAATTTCAAATGGCACTTAGAGGCTTTTGCATCTGAACTCTTTATATATATATAAATAATTATTTAATATTATAATTATTTAATATATATTTAACAAATATGTATATTTAATATAATTTTTATTACTGTATTTTTGTTTAACTGTTGATGTTGGACTAGTGGTTACATAAGTGTTGTTGTAACTATAATTTCTGCTTCCATAAAAAAATCATCTCTTACTAAATTTGTAACTTTCAAACCTATATACATATAAATAAATTGTTGTATGCAGGCAAATATCTTGTGAGATTTAAAGGGATGGTTCACCAAACATGAAAATTGTTATGTACTCGCCCTCATGCTGTTTCAAACATGTATGACTTCCTTTCTTCCGTGCAACACAAAATAGGACAAAAACACTGACACATTTCTCAAAAATCTGTTCTTTTGTGTTCCACACAAGAAAGAAATTCATACAGGTTTGGCTTCTTTGTGAGACTTTTTTTTACTCAATATATGTGTGTGTGTATGTGTCTTGCAGGATCTATTAGTGGTCAGGAGTCTCAGGGGGTAAACTTGACCAGGCACACACTGGAGCAGCAAGAGGACACAACGACAGCCCACAATGAAGCAGGCAAGAGATTTATTCCTACCACCACCTCCATCTCTGTCAGCCATGAACATGAAGTTAATCATCAACAATCCAGGACTCATTCTTAAACATGAGCTCAGTTGTATTTTCAAGCAACTAACTACAGCAGACACATTGCTGTGTGCTGTGTGAACCCCAAGAATCGTGTACAATTAATTTAACTTTTTTCCTCCACTTGGCATTTATTGACCCATAGATTTCCTGCTCAATAAAATTCTCCCACACAGAGCAATAGTCAGACTATTACTTCTGTGTGAGGGCTTCTTTGGGAAGTCAAGAGCTTCATTTCAAACAAAAATCTCCAAAGAGGAAAAAATTTAGAGCGATTCCATCTCTTCCTCTAGTGGCCGTGATCCAAATGAGACAGCCACTAACGGGCCTTTCGTCTAGGGAGAGTAAATTAGCTGAAGCAGAGAGCAGATATAAACTATTTAGATTGCGAGATGGGAATCTCCCCTGACCAGTTTCCGTATTGCTTACTGAGGATTTAGGCAGCACTGATGGTTACAGAAGAGTAACTGCTTCAGTAACCCAGTGTACACTAACAGCAGAAGATGGTTGCGTGTGGGAACAACATGATCTGTGCTTGCACTGGGCATTTTGAAGGTAGGATGTCTCTTTAGCATGCTGCTTTCATACTGTATATGGATCAGGAATGAAGATTATGTATATATATTATCATTCACAAACTTTTTTTGTTTTTTTCCCAAAACGATGCATTTAGTTGGAAAATCTCATGAGACTATTTTCTATGCACGTGATCTGATCGGCCTTTATAGAGACCACCGGTCAAACTATATAAAGCTGTTATCGGCCGATAACGATCTGCGCCCGATCAATCTGAGCACCCTTTATATATATATATGTGTGTATATATGTGTATATACTGTATGTATATATATATATATGTGTGTGTGTGTGTATATATATAGTAATCATACATTTATTTTTTTATATTGGCCAGTAAGCTATATGGTACTGATATATTGTGCATCGCTAATATTTTCCCTACAGCACTGAATGATTTGTTCATGTTCCTCTAGAGGGTGGTTTGCAGCGTCAGGGCAGTACAGCGGAACAGCACAGCACCCTCTCTAATGACAGGAAGTTCATGTTGGACATGCTCTACTCCAAAAACAACATCTCTTCTGGAGGTCTAAAAAGTCCAAGTCTGGAAAGTGCACTTGAGGATCATGGGATCACCAGTGTGGCCGGACGGCTCTCCAGACTGCAGTCGTGCTCTTCTCAGCCCACAGAGGACGCGTCCAGACAGGCAGAGCTGACGAGCCTCGGAGGTACTGCTAAGGCCGCTCGCGCCAGGCTAGCAGAGGAAAAAATGCTCAAGACGCTGCGTCCACAGTACAGTATCGAAGCAGAGACTCATTCACAGAGTTTGGAGAAGACGATGATGACACCATTGTCCAGGGGTAATCAGGATGCCTGGGAGAAGCTGCAGCCCAGTTCCAGACCTCTGCGGATTAAAGATCTTGACTTCTCTGATCTGATGGAGGAGGAGGATATCGATGTGCTGGATATAGACACTTTTGACAACGCTTTGCCTAATGGAGTACTGCCACCCTCTCCTCCAGTGCCAGGACTGGGTTCTGCCCCCCCACCACCACCTCCTCCCCCTCCTCCTCCTGGATGTGCTACTCTGGCTCCACCCCCTCCCCCTCCTCCTCCTCCTCCTCCTGGAGGTTTGAGTGTGCCCCCTCCTCCTCCAGGACTCCTTCCTCCATCCCCGTCTCAGGGGGTTGATCCGGCTTTTCTAAAGAAACGGAAAACGGTCAAGCTGTTTTGGAAGGAGCTTAAGCAGCCTGACAGCCCCAGGAAGTGCAAGTTTGGGCGGGGCACAGTGTGGGCTTCGCTTGATAAGGTTGCAGTTGATACAGCTAAGCTGGAGCACCTGTTTGAGTCCAAGGGCAAGGAACTTCCAGTAGCAAAGGTGTGATGGGCGAACCGTTATTTTTTTTCTTTTCCGATTATTATTTGTTTACAAATTTGTAATCTTATACAGAAAATGTACTGTATGCAGTCATATGGATCTTACACATAAAGATCAAGATATACAAATAGAGCATGTAATTTAAAAAAACAAAACTTATGCCAAACAACCCAAACTGTTTATGAATAAACCATTTCAGGTTTACACGAAAATACCTATTTCTTAATGTACTAAAGCTATTTAAACTCTTTTTAATTAATTATTATTAAAGCTGTCGCATTAACCCGATATCAGTGGTTGCCATTGAATGTATAGATGAGTTAATGTAGTCTTTTTTTTTTTACAGTCAGTATGCTATAAATGATTTAGGTTTGTTTCTGTGAATTGAATTTATTTCTCCATTTCCTACAGAAATGTGCTGAGACCAAGAAAGCAGCAATTTTAGTGCTTGATCCAAAGAGAAGCAATGCCATCAACATCGGCATGACTGTTTTACCTGCTGTACATGTCATCAAGAGTGCCATCCTCACCTTTGATGAGTTCGCCATCAGTAAAGAGGGCATTGAGGTAATGTAGCACTAGCATCCAACAGGGGGCAGTAGTAGATCACACATTTAGCATTATTTGTTTTCCTGTATTGAGAATAAATATCGGTAAGTCTTTTTGTACATTTTCTTCTTCCCTCTGCCTGTAGAAAATCCTGACCATGACTCCGACTGATGAAGAGAAACAGAAGATTCAGGAGGCACAGCTGGCCAACCCTGACGTACCGCTGGGTTCGGCAGAGCAGTTCCTGCTCACTCTGTCCTCCATCAGTGGCCTTTCAGCCAGATTACAGCTTTGGGCCTTTAAACTGAACTATGAGACCCTGGAGAAGGTCAGAACTTTTTCCTAATTTTATATAGCCTGGGTTTCTCCATGCTGCCTTGCCGCAGCGCGATTTTATTCACGCTGCTAGGCAGCCCGGACACCAAATTTTCCTCTGAGATAAGGAACCAATCACAGAACGTGGAGGGAGCACAGACGCATTTGATAGACGTACAGGCGCATTTGATAGACATTCGTAGCACCCAATAATACGGCTCTGGGCATTCGTAAACCATGCCTCAAATATGAGAATTTTTTTTTTTTTTTGTCTCAGACTCATTTCAAACACTAATGTTGTGAAATATGATTACAATTTAAAATAACCATGTTCTATTTTCATATATTTTAAAATGTAATTTATTAATGTGATGCAAAGCTGAATTTTCAGCATCATTACTCCAGTCTTCAATGTCACATGATCCTTCAGAAATCATTCTAATATGCTGATATGCTCCATAAATGTTATTAATATTATTATCAATGTTGAAAATGGCTTAATATTTTTGTGGAAATCTGCAGGATCCTTTGTTGAATATAAAGTTAAAAAGAACAACATTTAATGGATTGACATGGAAATCTTTTGTAACATTATAAAACTATCACTTTTTTTAATGAATTTTTTTTCATTTTTGCTGAATAAACATATTAGTCTTAAAAAAATATCTTACTGACCCCAAACTTTCAAAGGTAGTGTACATTTGTAAGCATATTTACATATGTATATGTATGTTATGTGTGTGTGTGTATATATATATATATATATATATATATATATATATATATATGTATATGTGTGTGTGTATGTATGTATCGATAGAACACGTGTCTTTTGTCACATTGCTGGTGTGACTGTGTTGAGATTCTATATTTTGTTTTGACTTTCTTTATCAAATTTCAGACTTATTCACAGTCCTGTTTCAGTATTGCATTTTGACTGGTCGCTGAAAGAGACATTAATGGAATTTAGTAATTTAGGCTTTTTTAATTCAGCTATGTTGACCTTGATTGGTAATGAATGTGTGTTACCAATGAGATATTCTTTCTCTTCTTCTGTCCCTCACACATGAATGTTGAAGGAGATTGCAGAGCCTCTATTTGACCTCAAACTGGGTATGGAACAACTTGCCAAGAACAAAACCTTCAAGCATATCCTCGCAACACTACTGGCCATTGGCAACTTCCTCAATAGCTCCAATGTAAGTGTTCCAACTCCTCCGCAGTCCTAGGAACAGAGTTACATTTAAAGCTCCTGTACTAAGGTCAGGTGCACTGATCTGAAGCTTGATGGCCCCCGTGATGAGTCGGAGCAGCCCTGGGATGATGCCTTAATCCTTTGCTGTTGCCTGTGGGAGATAAGATATGATTAAGACCGCGCATGACACATTTTCTATGCTCTAGTATGTGACGACCTCTTGAACTCTACAAACATATGTGTATAGTATTTAGACTGTACTACCATGTGTAGAAACAGGGCAGTCAAAATATATTTTCGATTTTACGGAAAAGTTTACCCTCAAATTTGAATCATCTTTCATCAATTCAGACTCCCTTAAAGGTACCATGAAATCCAAATGAACAAATCTTATTTTTTTTATTGGAATATTGCAGTATATATTTTAAATGATGTATCGGTGCACATCATTATTTTTTTGATTCATGCACCCTCATAATATTAAATAAAAAAATAACTTCACCTCCCATTTGCAGCAACATTTGTTCTTTGATGATGTTTACTGGTGTAAGAGCGGGACAACCTGCCACTCATGTGAGATCACGGAAAACCCCAAGAATCCAATCAATTCCCGATGGACAAAATCAAGTCCAGCCTTGCATTTTTTTTTTTCCTCTCGTTCAATGAGCTGTTTCACTTGGATACACATCCCAGTATAGAAAAACGATTAAATGTTCATGCTACACTAAGAATAAAAGGCTTTCTGAACATCTCACATAATTGAATATGTGGGAACACTTTTCTTTCGTGAATCATTCATAAAATATGTCATCGGTTTTAATGAAGTGTTTACAGCACTACCACGTCTTTATTTTGATGTCTGTTACAGTGCCATGTTCAAAACAAATCTTGACAGTTAGTAGTTAATAACTGTTCAGAACATGATGTGTTTAAATTTGTGCCACTCTATTTAATGAGTAGCCATCTTAAATATGCTTTTCCTCACAAATTGACAACAAAGCCAATGTAGTAGTTCACTGAACATCACATGACTTTAATTGGCACTTCTTATCTCTCTTGCAGGCTAAGGGCTTTGAGCTCAGTTATTTGGAGAAGGTAACTGAGGTAAAGGACACAGTACACAGGCAGTCTCTGCTTCATCATACTTGCAACTTTGTGGTGGAAAATTACCCAGATACGACAGACCTTTACTCGGAGATCCCTGCTATTACACGCTCTGCTAAAGTATGTGTCCCAGAAAATTCTTTATATGCATTTTTTTTTGTGATTTCTTTGTCCTGTTTGTTTTTCATCATCATTGCATTATTATACATTTATATGATTAATTTGTACAGAAACGTTCAATGCTGTCCCCCCTTTAAGCTTTTTTAGTAATTTTTTTTCCTGTAAATGTTTTATTTCTGTCCACATGAGTTTCTTTTCTGTTCTTTTTCTGCCATTGAAGGTAACTATCCAAAGAACCCTTTAGAATTCATCGTCATCATTTATCACTCCCTCCTTTCCTTTCCCACAGGTAGAGTTTGAGCAGTTGTCTGAAAACCTGATTCAGTTGGAGAGAAAATGCAAAGCCTCCTGGGACAACCTGAAAGTAGTGGCCAAACATGAAACAAAACCTAACTTGAAAAACAAAATGACAGAATTCCTGAAAGACTGTACTGAAAGGATTATCATCCTAAAAGTAGTGCACAGACGCATTATTAACAGGTAACACCCACACACACACACACACACACAAAACACTAGTCTAATCCATTTTAACATGTTGAACAAACAGATTACAAATTCGTTTGAATGCTTCCCTACGACGAGTTGACGAGCTTGAATGATGACTGTGCCTCACTTTTTAATTAGGATGAACTTGAGCATACAATATATTAAGTTCTACTTCCTCCACTTTGCAGGTTTCATTCCTTTCTGCTATACTTGGGCCAGCCCTCTTACTCAGTGCGGGACACTAAAGTAACTCAATTCTGTAAGATCATCAGTGAGTTTGCTCTGGAGTACCGCACCACTCGAGAGAGAGTCCTCACCCAGAAACGCAAACGTGCTGTCCACCGGGAGCGCACCAAAACCCGGGGCAAGATGATCACAGAGGTGTGGAAACAAAGCTCTCGAGAAGAATCACACATTTAAAGCACTTTGCGTACAGATATCCTTTTGATTCTGTGTTTTACTACTCTTATTCCATCATGTATCAAGTTTAAACTGCAGTCATTTGTTTAAACCTTGTAGAATCTGTCAAATTTTAGCTAGGATCATAAAAATTGCATGTTACTGCCCTGACTTAGCTATTTTATATATCGGATGTTTACATACAGTAATCCTTATTCTGCGTGTCATGTTTTTATGGGATAGTTATTCATGATTCCCCATTGTTCTTCAGAAGAATATTCCCCATCCTGCACATTTTTTGGTTTTCCAGCATCTTCTGCATTGTTGAACCCTTTCCAGTAGTGACTATGATTTCAAGATCTTTTCTTAATGAGGACAGTTGAGGGACTGTACATAATTTTTACATGGCAATATATATAATAAATGGCAATAGTCAATGAAAATGCATGATATACATACATAAAAACAAGAAAGAATCATCCTTTAAGTAGATGAATAAAACATTTGTTCATTGCTAGAATTCCCAAGACCCAGACAAAATGGTGGTTCACCTCCAAACAAAGTATTAAAGAAGTAGTTCACTTTTAAAAATACTTTTGCTGATAATTTTCTCACCCCCATGTCATCCAAGATATCCATGTCTTTCTTTCTTCAGTCGAAAAGAAATTAAGGTTTTTGATGAAAACATTCCAGGATTTTTTTCTCCATACAGTATAATGGACTTCAATGGGAACCAAACGGTTCAAGGTCCAAAAGACAGTTTCAGTGCAAACTGTTCAAAGGGCTTTAAACGATTCCAGATGATGAATAAGGGTCTTATCAAGCGAAACGAACACTCATTTAATAAATAAATAAGTTTAAGTTTAAGTTTTATAAACTCAAATGAATTGGATTTGTTCATTTTGATAAACGAGTTCTAACTGGAGAGTCACGAACGTGCATCACAAAACAGAGCAAGGCGACCATTTGAGCTTATAAAACTTTTATTTATAACTTATTTATTTATTAAATGAGCGTTTGTTTCGCTTGATAAGACCCTTATTCATCGTCTGGACTCATTTAAAGCCCTTTGAACAGTTTGCACTGAAACTGTCTTTTGGACCTTGAACCGTTTGGTTACCAGTGAAGTGCATTATGTGGAGAAAAATCCTGGAATGTTTTCATCAAAAATCTTAATTTCTTTTCGACTGAAGAAAGAATGACATGGACATCTTGGATGACATGGGGGTGAGTAAATTATAAGCAAATGTTTTTATTTTTTTTAAAGTGAACTACTCCTTTAACTATAAAGCATTTAGCCAGCCCATCTCGGACAATTTTCGCAGTTTTCTCTTATGACGGACCTTATCGACATCGTCACAAATGTTGTCAATAGAGCTTAACTGTTGTTAAATGGCTATTTCATAGCCATTGTCCACAACCCCACTCTATCACCCTCAGTCGTCAAGTTGATTGAGACAAACCATTACCAGTAACTAATTCTGCTCTCGAATCTTTTCACAGACAGAGAAGTTTTCTGGAGCAGTTCCACAGCTGTCTCTGGAGGACAGCCTATCCCCAGTTTCATCAACAATAGAATCAGAGCCAGCCCAAGAGGAGCATGAGAACATGAAAAACCTGCTAACTACCAACGACGACAACAGCAAGCTGCGCAGGAGCCGCGGTGTACGAAGTAAGAGACCAAAGCGTTGCACATCCAGGAAATAAGTTTAGCTGTTTAGACCAGTGACAGTCCTGCTTTGACTTTGACCATCCTTCCTGTGGAATTTAATTCCATCCCTCCTCTAACACACCTGCTTTAGAAACATTCATTAGCTGTTCAATCTTTGTTTATACAATGATTTGCGAAGTCCAGCCCAGATTAAAGGACAATTATGTATATGTGTTAATTAATTATTTGTATTTATTTATTTGGGGGTCCTTTTATAGAGATTCTTACCACTGGTGGTGACACTCCTCCAATTTCACCAACCCTTCAGTGGAGTGATGAAGGTATAGAGTTTGGAGCATGGATGTGTGCAAAGATAAAGCACCTGTGCAGCTTTCAATATATAATAAAGCTTTTGTAATTAATGAAAGCATTAAGGTTGGGTCATTTAATCTCACAGAGGGGCCTTGTGACTCTGACTGCTCTCCTACTTCACCAGTAGAGAGCCATTCAGCACAGGATGATGATGATGATGAAGGTAGAGCTACCGCACAGGCTGCATGGAGTGGCTTAGCTCAACTAACAGATTTATTATGGACTAAATAGTAAATAATGACGTCATTTTGAAGTGATTGTAGAGGGCTAACTGTCAAAACAGACATGAGAAACCTGGATGAATACACCATGGATTCCAATTTCACACCCAATTCTATATTTGCCTTAATATCTATGACCTTTTTACAAATGATTGATTTTCATCAGCTTGCCAAAAAGTAGTACCAATGCCTCGCTCATTTTAACGCTTTCCTTGAAGGTTCTTGGACCTGTTTCTATTGTAATTAGGCAAAGATTTGATTGATCTATTTCTACACAGGTTTAGGCAGGGTTAGCGCACCCATGTCTGTCGCCAAAGAGGACAGCGCCAGCTCACAGGATGATGCCACAGATGAGATCATGGATCGTCTGTTTAAGTCTGTTACCCAGAATCCCTCAGAGAGGGCGTCTAGTCCAAAAACACGGAAACGTTCGCGGCTTAACCGAAAGTCGTGTGAGTACATTTTGACTGTCAACGCATTTTTTATTTGTTTTTTTGACCACTGAACTTCACAACCAGTTCTGAAGGTTGTTTTAGCCCTAAACCTGGGGGATGAGATTAAGGATTTAGTCACTGTTTGCATTCAACACTATCTGTATCCAAAACACAATGTAATCTGGCTTCTACCATTGCTTGGCTTTCAAAAGCCCCTAAATCTCCCTGTCAGATCCATATCGTGCCACCTCTTTACTTCTGCTTGTACCGGATTGAACTGCTAGACATCTCAGAATTCAAACGCCACAAAGAGCCTTTTGTAGGGCACATTCTTGCAACTGTGCTTTTAAAAAAGGAGAGCGAAAGCACACAAACCTCCAAACCTGAAAAGCCCTTTAGGTTTATTTATATTATTCTGAACTGAAGTGCATTACAGTACGTCTTAATGTGCCGTCACATTTATAGCTGCTCAGAGAGAACTCCAGTAATTTCAGTAAAAATCCATGTGATCATTTTGCATAAACTTCACAACGGTTTCAAGTGAATTTGCCATGTTGACCAAAAGAAAGCTGCTTGGTTTGAAAGTGACTTTTGTGTGAGCGGTGCTACATTATTTACAATAGACAGTGGATGATTTTTTGCAAATTCGCTTATGTGTTCACACCATCACAGTTCCAGATCATTATTTCCAGTCTTTGTACATGTGCAAGTGGCATTATATGGATTGTCTGACATTGAGTTGCATGTTTTATTTTACAGTATAACGTAACGTGCATTGTGTGTTGCAGTGCGGAGGACTCTAAAGAGTGGGCTAAGTGTGGATGTGGTGCAGGCCCTTGGCCTCGGCAGTCCTAACGGGAAGGTCTGAAGCTGTGGAAAACTCTTGCAAGGCAGAAATGAGGCCATGAGGAGAGCTGTATTCGTGATCGGAAGAACTGTGATAACAAAGGGATCCTCACTGAACAATTCAGTGCATGAATCATGTGCTTCCAGTTGGAAACAAACAGCTGTGTTAGTGTACAAACACCTGAAGTGTGTGCACGATATCTATTAGACATATTATGACTGGTGCAAACTTCATTTGCATTGTATTAAATATCAGCCTACGTTTACCGATGAAGAATAAATGTAAAGTGCTAAATATTTTTAGCAGATGGACATATATTTTGTAAAGAGACTTTTGCATAGAATGGAGAACAATTTATCAGTTACAGACATGTATTTAAGGGTTTGAAAGGTTTTAAGTTAAAAGTGCATTTTTAAAGAGAATTTTTATACTTTTGCCATATATGTTGTGATGGCTCATGGTTAGGATTGTGGAAGCCAGTTGCTGAGATCAGTGCAATAGGGTAACTCAAACACACTGTTTTCATGGGCCCATTAATGAAGCGGGACCCTGGATTAAACTGCACTGTTAGTAATGATTGGCCAATTAATAACTCTTTAGTTTTGGACAAGGTTTCATTTGTGTCTGGAAAGCTGACCCATGTGCACCTGGATAGTGTTCCAACTGAATATCCTGACTACCAAGGAGATCTTGATTAGAGAGGACATAAACTATGCCACATGTTTGTTTATCTTTTATTTATCACAGCACTTTCTTGATAGGTTTGTGGATTCTACAACACAGTCGTGTATTCTGCTGTATCACATTTCTGTCCTGGTATTTATTAATGTGCTCATAGTTGAGAGAAAGATGGGAGATTTTCACACTTTCAGTTTTTTGACGTCTTAGTTTCACCCTTTTAGTTATTCCATTGTTATGGTGTTATACAATTTGTGCATGGACCACTCTCTCGTTAAAGAGAAATTGTTAAAAAAAAAAAACATTTTATAAAGCCCTTTATTACTGTTACAAGCACACATTTTAAGGATTTTCTTGCTGTTTTTGCACAGGGGTTCATGCTTATAAGAATTTAGAGTCACTATGAGTCACTCTGTTGTTTTATGTATGACCTTATTACCTTTCTGCATGAGTGCATGTGTTCTACACTCTGAATGTATCACTATTAGCGTGTCCCCGTCACTACTCTCAACACCTGCACAAATAAAGTTTGTTTGCAAAGAAATTGCAAGTACAGTACTTCTAATGTTAGACATTGTATTCTGATTCAGAATTGTTTTACAAAGACATGTTGGCCTCGAAACCCAAGACAGTGCTCTGTTTAAAAAATAAAATAAATGGTTCAACTTTTTCTGTTATTATTCTTTATTTGCTTATTTACTTATCTAGAACAGATGTTTTGATCTCCTCGGTGTGCATCTGTCAATTCAATTGACGGCTTATTTTAGTGATCTATTAATTCGAATAGTGCTTAAATAACTAAATCGACTTGTTGTTGATTCTGCCATAACTACACTCTAAAAAATGCTGGGTTGTTTTAACCCAATTTTGGGTCAAATATGGACAAACCCGAAATGTTGGGTTAAAAATGTAATGTAAAAATTTAACCCAACGGCTGGGTTAGTCCATATTTGACCCAAAGTTGGGTTAAAACAACCCAGCATTTTTTAGAGTGTAGCTATTTATTTCGCATTTATGTCCTTTTTTGTTGCATGGCCCATAAAAATAAGATGATTTTGGGTGCGCACTGTCTGTATGAGGAGGATGAGTTACGGCTCTTTAATAAGAACCTCCTCGTGCAAGGAAACGAATCACGTGTCCTTATACGCCAGCTGCACCTTCGCGAGTTACCGGCGAGTGGAGTGTGTGTTGTTGATGTTGTAAACCGGTAACGGGGCGTCCCGTGGAGGGCTTACCATTGCAACAGGAGTGTATAAAAGAAATGAAGATGACACGCCGTTGAACACGCCGAAAAGATGCGGTGCTTGAGTTTGCTTCTGTTCATAAAGGTGGCTACTGATGCAGCGACGGACCTTTACGTGACAGGAGCGTCGTTCCCGCCAGAGCCAGGGGTAAGCGCCGCACCTACCGTCACATCCCCCGTCGCACCCCGCTATACTCAAGCCCGGGAAGAGTACGGGCATCCCGGGATTGCGCTCGCCCGGTCTGCAGAGGAGCCGACGGCGCCGAGCTCGGAGGACGGAGAGTCGTCTCAGCACCACGGAGGAGGGTACAAAATAGTGCAGTGGGAATGGAGCTACGTGCAGACACCTTACATTATAGCCAGCTGGCTTTTGGTGGCCAGTGTGGCAAAAATACGTAAGTTCTGTTATACAAGATTACGAGCTTTGTTTTTTTTTAATGTAATATATAGGCCTAGTAAGTTAGGGTTTAAAATGAGCTTCCGAGCTCACTCATGCTCTTGGACTGATACGCGTAAAGTGCAGTGAGTTGATTATGTTGAGAACGTGAATGTGTTGTGCGTTTTATTATAGTGGGCCTTCGGTGCTGTGTTGGTCAGATGGCTGTAAAAACGGTGCGTAAAAAGCGCGAGCCACCTGCGCTTCCCTTCCATCCACATCCTCTGTCATTAAGTGACAGACGCTGGTGGTTGCCATGGCAATAAAGCCCATACATTTCCTCTGGGACATTTTCATACAATAATAAAATGGGCTTTTAGCTTCACTTAAGATAAGCAAACAGCGTTAAAAAGACAGTAGTGTACGTTAGGAATATCATTCTTTAATTTTCGTGACTTTTTGCAATTCGTGCTGTAACCCCCCGCGAGATATTTCTGTGGAGTGTGAGGTCAGAGGTGAGCTCACCGTGTCCCGCCGATCCGTGAGTCTCCGCGGAGTTGCGGCGAGCTCTGATTGGCTATGATGACTCATATTTCCATCATCATTCTCACACTTTGGCTGACTGCAAAAAATAGGGTGGGAAGTTCGATTTATGTCCGCAAATCGGTTCTTTCTTCAAAGGACAGGTTCAAATGCTATTCGGTTATTCTTGTAGGCCTATGTCACCTGCTATCATGTGGTTTGATACTGTTTATTTAGCTACGTTTTCCCAATTTCAGCTTGAGGCAGGCTTTGTTTTTATAAACCTGTCTGCAAAGTCTTTTTTTAGTTCAGTTTTTGTACATTTTAATAAAACGTGCATTAATAAAACTCTCATAACATCATGTTGTAATATTTTCCAGTAACTTATAGGCTCCCAGACAGCAACAGTCTCACCCAGATCCGGCCCACATGTGATGCCCACATGTGATGCCAATCTGGGCCAACACTATGTTGCTGTCTGGACTATCGGTAGCCTACTGGGATACTCCACCGTTTTTTCATATTAAACTATGTTATTCGCTTAATTAGGACGAGTTGATACCTCTCTCCTCTCAATGCGTGCACTCAATCGCTCTGGTGCGCGAGACAGCTCTTAACTATAGTTCATTCAATATGGGCCAAGCAGAGAAGCGACCAAACACCTCCACGTATTTAAATATAGGTACACGAGTAGTGTAACTCGACTTAGGATGGTGACACAAAATAAAACGTTGCGCTTTTCTAAGTGTGTAAAGTGGATAACTATATTGTATGGCGGAATACCACAGCAAGTGCTTGGGAGCACTACGACTCACTCTGCGCAGTAATAACATCACTCTGGAGGGAGAGAGGGCTTTTCACGAGTGATGATATCACTGTATTTAAATAATCTCTTATTCAGGACAGTACTAAAAAAATGCATTGTGTTTGATTCCTCTTAATTTGTTAAAAATAATTAACATTTTTGCAGATTCTGCAAACTTTTGAGCACGACTGTACATTATAAAGATATCTTCCGGAGGACTCAAGTGCATTATTAGTTGGGAATGAAAGACATGATGTTGTGCAATAATCAACTCCGATTGATTATTAAAGAATTAGGATTTGAAAGCAAAATATTTAACAGAGAAACTGGTTGTGTGTTTCGTGGTCTAGTTCACATACATTATAATACAGTACAAACACAAAATGTCTATATTTGCATGTGTGGGTGTCTCTCAGGCGTCTCTCCAGCTTGCATTTTTGGCCAAGACATGCAGTTACATCAGCTCATTTTGCTCAATCATCTGTTTCTCTATGACTCAATTGCCACGGTAACACCATTAAAAATTCATTTTGAAAATTTGTCTTGCATCTGGAGAAAGTAGCATTATCTGAAGCACCTGCACATGGTTTTCAGCTGACTTGAAGTGCTGAGTACACACAGCCTGAAGAGGTGGAGGCAACATTTCTTTGTGTTACAGGTAGTGTTTTAACCCATAGAATCACAGTACTGCCATAACATTACATCCGTACGATAGATAAATAGCCATGTAAAATCACTGAGAGGCATCAACATATGCTGAGACGCACATTGTGCAGAAGTCGCCAACTTTCTGAAGATTGATTCACTAGCTACAGACCTCCAAACTAGCCTTCAGATTAGCTCAAGAACAGTGCATAGAGAGCTTCATGGAATGGGTTTTCCAGCTGCATCCAAGCCTTACATCACCAAGTGCAATGCACAAAGCGTCGGATGCAGGGGTGTAAAGCAGGCCGACACTGGACTCTAGAGCAGTGGAGACGTGTTTTCTGGAGTGACGAATCACGCTTCTCTGTCTGGCAATCTGATGATAGTGTTATGGCAAAAATTCAATAAACAGACATCTCTGCGTAAGAGACACTTCAGGGTCAAATTAATAAAGAAAGAGAAGTTTATTCTTGCAAGAATAGTCCCAGTCGCTAACACAGATTGGTACACTGTATTCCTCTGTTATTGCATATAGGGGGTGAACAGATATAAAATATAGAAACATAAGGCCCAATAATCATATGTAATACATGTGAGATTAAAATTTCCCCAACAATAAAGTCTTGGTTTGATGGTTGCCAGGAGAATGGTACTTGCCTGACTGCATTGCCAAGTGTACATTTTGGTGGAGGGGGGTTGTGGTGCGGGGTTGTTTTTCAGGGGTTGGGCTTGGCCCCTTAGTTCCAGTGAAAGAACTCTTAATGCTTCAGCATACCAAGACAGTTTGGACAATTTCATGCTCCCAACTTTGTGGGAACAGTTTGGGAATGACCCCTTCCTGTTCCAACATGACTGCGCATCAGCGCACAAAGCAAGGTCCATAAATATATGAATGAGTGAGTTAGTTTGAATGTTAGTGAGTTTGGTGTGGAGGAACTTGACTGGCGTGCACACATATGACCTCAATCCGATAGAACACCTTTGGGATGAATTAGAGCAGAGACTGCGAGCCAGGCCTTCTCATCCAACAACCTCACAAATACTCTTCTAGAATTATGGTCAAAAATTCCCATAAACAAAATTCTAAACTTTGTGGAAAGCCTTCCCAGAAGATTTGAAGCCTAAACCCTACGGATTAGGAATGGGATGTCTTTAAACTTCATGTGCTTGTCACTTTAACACTCTCATTTACCAGAGGGTTGCATTCAGAATACACTCTTCTCAAACATCTAGTCATGGGAGTTATACAGTACAAGGCAAAATCTCATTCTATACTGCACACACTTTGACTTAAAGGGTTAGTTCACCCAAAAATGAAAATTCTGTCAGTATTTACTCACCCTCATGTTGTTCCAACCCCGTAAGACCTTCGTTCGTCTTTAGAACACAAATTAAGATATTTTTTGATTAAATCTGAAACCTGGATCTCTCCTGCATAGTAGTCCATAGGCTTCTTGAGGAATTGAAACTTGCTGGCTCGAAAAGTTATTAAAGACATCGTTAAAATAGTCCAAGTGACTACAGTGGCTCAATCTTAAGTTTATCAAACAACGAGAACACTTTTTGTGCACAAAAAACCTACAAAAATAATGACTTTATTTCAACTATTCATTTATTTCTCTCTCTGCCTCCAGTCAGGTTACTAGTTTAATAGCGTAAGCTTCTGTTATTGTACGTCACACGCATCACACACATGACCAGCGCCGGCCAATAGTGAGCCTACGTGTGACGTAGCTATAAGCAATCACACTACGTTAACTGACTACAGGCCCATGGAGAAGGAAGTGAATAGTTGAAATAAAGTTGTTATTTTTGTTTGTTTTTCCGCACAAAAAGTGTTCTCGTCGCTTGATAAAGTTAAGATTGAGCCACTGAAGTCAATTGGACTATTTTAACGATGTCTTTAATAACTTTTCGAGGCCGGCAAGTTTCAATTCCTCAAGAAGCCTATGGACTACTATGCAGGAGTGATCCAGCTCTCAGATTTCATCAAAAATATCTTAATTTGTGTTCCGAATATGAACGTAGGCCTTACGGGGTTGGACAACATGAGGGTGAGTAAATACTGACAGAATTTTCATTTTTGGGTGAACTATCCCTTTAATGATCAACCTGTTTTAATAAATATAATCATAATGGGATGGCAGTCCACTCTGTTCATAATTAACTGTCCCAAGTTTTGTCTCTGTCTGTCCCTGAAAATGAAGGGTGTTGGGTTAATTGGAGTTAATAATCTTTCATTATGGCTGTAATCATATGTGGACTGAACGCTTAGGGAAAGTCATTTAACAGCAGGAGATCTGATAAAAATGATTCACACATAAGGTCTTCTCTATTGTGAGGTTGGAGAGGCTCACAGGTATCCGTATGCATACAGTACATGAATGGAATTAATCTCTAGCAACAAATTTGTCTGTGTGTATTTTTATGTGTATGGAGGCATTCAGAATATTTTTCTTTTTTTTTTGTTATTTAGTGTTTATGTGTGTGTACACATGCATGTGTTTGTGCAGATGTCTAGTATGCTCTTTTGGGTGTATGTCAGTGTTTTTCTGTCCATGTGTGAATGACTCATGGTGAACGGTGATTGTTATGCTTTTTGATTTTCCTTCCTCCACAAAATTACTCTGATCATGCCATTAGAATCTCTCATTATGCCATAATGTGTTGTGATTTCACACATTTCATTAGCAATTCTTTTATAAATGGAATGGAGGTCAGTCCGTGCCTTGATTGGCCTCATTAACCAACATCATTTTCACTAATATATCCCTATTGAAACATCTTATGATCTATCAAATCACCCCTTTTCACATATAAACACTACTTTAATGTGGTTTCTGCACCTCATGTTTCAGTGTCCTGATCCAGTGCTGGAACCTGAGCATAGGGTTATTGCGGTGCGATTGTTCCTCGTCTTATGCTTTGTACTAATATGATATGTCTGACTTGTGAAAAGACACACTGGTCATCCTGCATTCCCAGTGGAAATATTGTGACGAATTCTAGCAGATGCTCCATTAATCCACTTATTAAAGCTGCAGTATGAGATGATGTTTTACTGTGACTCAGTATTTGTCACTGGGGGTCATTGTACGCTAGAATGGTGTTGTGTAACATTTCATCTGAAACCATGGTATGGAATTACAGCACCTGTAACTGATGAACTACTCCTTAAATGAGGTTGGTTGGCTGCCATGGGCCATGAAGATACATATGCTCATTGCTCCCTATATTAATTTTTTTGTTTGTTTTATTTTATGGATTTGGTTGTCTCTGGCATGTGCATCTTACTGTAATTAACTCCATACATTTAAATGTCATAAAGCTGTAGTGAAATTACAATGAAGAACATTTATGTTTACTTTCACACTTTTTTATGACAGTGCATGACAAGATAATATCTCTCATCTCATGCTCAATCCATGTTAACCTTTTTTTCCTCTGTTGTCTCTGCAATCTTCAGTATTCCACTTCTCTCAGCGGTTTACCACAGCGGTCCCAGAGAGCTGTATGCTGATTCTGCTGGGTCTGGTTCTGGGTGGAGTGGTTCTTATCGCCAGCAAAAAGCAGCCGTACCAACTGGACCCTGGGCTGTTTTTCCTCTTTCTTCTGCCAACTATAGTGGGGGATGCTGGGTATTTCATGCCTGCACGGCTCTTCTTTGACAACCTGGGTGCCATTTTGATGTACGCTGTAGTAGGCACATTGTGGAATGCTTTCTGCACTGGATTCTGCCTATACGGAGTCAAGATGGCAGGGGCCATAGGTGAGTTATTATGATGGGGCGTCTGTTCAAACAAATTAAATCAAAAATTAATTCTTAAATTATCACAGATCCTACAGTGCTTCTTCAGTCACGTAGGTGGAATATTTCCTCTGGTACTTCTGATGTACTGAATCTGATGACAAAGCTGCTTGTTTTCAAACTTTTTATTAACATAAATTAGGAGTGTGTCAGTCTATTAAAACAATAAACCTTGATAATCCTTCAATAAAACAAGCTCTGTTGGGATTAAAATATGAAATAATATGTGAGTTTATTAACATTTTTAAAATGTTTTTAGCTTCTTAATTAGGATTCTAGTGGGTCCTGACCCCTGGTTGAGAACCACTGCCTTTAGTAAAGCAATAAGCCATTTGAGGCCTTGTGTTACTGTGATTTTCATTTTCATTTCTTAATGTTTTCATATTATATATTCACAACTGCAATATTATAAAAGACAGAAATATTCAATATACAATCACATGCATTTTTATAACTAAAAACTTTTTTGCCAAGTTATTTAGTTTATAACCTAAATACAGGTTATGCTGTATAAATATTGCATTGACTCATGAATTATTAAATTGTATATTGTTTATGCATTTGTGTTGTTTATATATCTTGTAATTTATTATAATACACGTTTTTGTTTATATGATATATTTGTATACGTATATACAGTACACATTTTATAGATGCGATTAATCGATTTGACAGCATTTATAAATAAAATCAGCTTTTTTTCTTGCTACTAACATGACTTGTCCAATCACATTCAATATTCTTAACTATTTATTTTATCAGAATTTTTTATATTGCGGGAGTCATCGCTGACTAAAAATTGTTTGTATTGCATAGGACTTAGATGTGGTGTGACTGACAGAATTTTTGAGATGAAAGCATGTCTGGATGGCTAACATGCTACTAGCAGAGTGTAAAGGCCCGTGCTGTGAGTGAGGAAATGCACTACTCAAAAATTGTGTAAAGTTTGTTTTAGACCCAAGAAAGGGTAGGGCACTTTCATCCAAGGCAACATGCAGTACACTTTACATTACAGGGAAAATCCCACTGGAGCATCCTGGGTTAAAGAGCCTGGCTGCAACATTTGAATTACCATTCCAGATCTTTAACCACTGTCTGTACCACACCACTAGGGCTGCATGTGATAAGATCAATTTGGTTGTAATTATTGAATGCAGTTTGTTTGTATGTTTGTCTGCAGATGAAAAAGTAGATGCAGGTTTGATGGAGTTCTTGTTGTTTGGAGCTCTGATCTCGGCTGTGGATCCGGTAGCAGTGATCGCTGTTTTTGAAGAAGTCCATGTGAATGAGACACTCTTCATCATTGTCTTTGGCGAGTCACTGCTCAATGATGCTGTCACTGTGGTGAGTCTGGACTTTGTTAATCATCAAAATTAATTGTTTTTACTATTTAAAGGGTTAGTTCACCAAAAAATGAAAATTCTGTCAGTAATTGTTCCAACCCCGTAAGTCTTTCGTTCATCTTCGGAACAAAAGTTAAGAGATTTTTGATGAAATCTGACAGCTGTCTCACTCCTTCATTGCATGCTAGGTAATTTCATCTGGCGGCATCGTTAAAATAGTCCAAGTCACTAAAGTGGCTCAACTTTAAGTTTGTCAAGCGACAAGAATACTTTTTCTGTGCAAAGAAAACCCAAAATAACAACTTTATTCAACTATTAATTTTCTTCCATGTGGGCCTATGGTGGAGTGATCCAGCTCTCAAATTTTATTAAAAATATCTTAATTTGTGTTCCAAAGATGAACGAAAGTCTTAAGGGGTTGCAACAACATTAGGGTGAGTAATTACTGACAGAATTTTCATTTTTGGGTAAACTAACCCTTTAAAGCATGTCTGGATGGCTAACATGCTACTACTGTAGCAGAGTGTAAAGGCCTGTGAGTGCGGAAATGCACTACTCAAAGGTTTAGGTCGGTAAGTTTAAAAAAAAAAAAGGGTTTTAGAAAGAAATCTCTTATGCTCATCCAGGCTACATTTATTTGAATTAAAAACATAGTAAAAATATTATTACAATTTAAATCAATGTAATATTTTTTGTTGTAATATTTTTAATATGAAATATGATCCTTTTGAAATCAGTCTAATTTGCTGATTTACTGCTCAAGAAAAAATTATTTTTATTAGACATGTTGAAAGCCATTGTGCTGTTTACTGTTTGTGGAAACCATGGTACATTTACATGAATAGACATTTCAAAAGAAATAGAATAATCTTGAAATACTACTTTTGTAAAAATGCAAGAGCCTTTACTGTAATTTTTATCACTTTAATGTTTGAGCAGTAAAAGTATTATTTTCTTAACAGTAGTCAAATTAAAAAATCAATACTTAAAACATTATTTAATTAATTAATTGTTTGTTTGTTTATTGAGAGTTGGGGTTAGCTTAGGGGGTTTAAAGGCTCAAGGAAAGCTCAAGGGAGATGAGGAATGACCTTTTGTGTTCTCTCTGTTTAATGCTTACCTGTTGTTATGGTAACCTTACACCAGAACACTCTGCTGTAGTGCTGACATGATTATGTTATAAGACATGCCCAAAAGTCATTTGCCTGCTCTGGAGAAGCAAATCGATAGTAAATGACTTGGGCTAAGACATTGCCACTGAATTATCCAAACCATTTCCCTTTTTCCCCCTTGTATTTTTTATATAACTATACTCTAGGGTCAAACAGCTTCTGGCTAGAGATAGGCTGATTTAGTGTTAATGGTTTATACTACATAATGTTTTTGGGATTAGATCTAATCCTCAGAATTAACAATTCCGTGCTAGGGCAAAGTTTGGTTGGTGTTGACCTGACTTGTTCACTGGTATTGCAGGTCAGTCCGATTAATTTGTAGATGTGTCACTTGTTGACCCATATGTAGAAGATTACGCCCAATGACGAACCATCACTAACACATTCCCCACCTAATTCTACACATTCTCCCACCCTACAACATTTCAACATTACTAACATTATTCAACATACATCCGTGAAACCATAGACAGAGCCATCTATGCCGTAATGTCATTCATCAGAATATTCCTCAGGTTTACGCTCAAATTCACTTTCATGATTTTGAGATTTTAGCAGTGCCAATGTAGGAATAGTCATTTTTTTAAAGGTGTAAACACCACTCTCTTCGGAGGGACAGTGTGTTGTTCAATGGAAGTCATTGGTAACCAAAAGTGTTTGGTTAAAAATCACCCTTCAATATGTCTTCTTTTGTGTCTCACAGAGGAAAGAAAGTCATATAGGGTTAGAACAACATGAGGCTAAGGAAATTATGTCCGTGATTCTCAACCTTTTTGACTCCCATTTTCTGAGACAATATTCAAAGATCCACCTATCTAAGCTGATTTGTGTATCTGTTGTAATATAAATAAACATTACAAAAACATTTTTGCTTTTTAATTACGATTGTTAATATACCTACTAATTATTTTTTTTGACATATTGGTGCCCCCTGGAAGTTTGCTGAGGCTCCCTAGTGGGCCCCGTCCCCTGGTCTAAAAAGTATGTTTACATTCTGCATGTGTACATTTTATTTTTAATCCGATTTTTCCCTATAAGCATGTTTCACTAAATAACTTTTTATTAAGCCCAATCATTGTCTTTTGTTCTCTTTATGTTACAAGCTTTTTGAGCCAGGTTATTACAAGAATTTTTAGCTTAAATCTCCTTTTTATGCATCAGATTAGGTGTAAAGTTACCACAGTCACATTCTAGGGATTCTGAACCACCAGGTTCCCACCAGGCTTCAGTGTAGAAGTGGCTACAGATTATAGAGTGATTTTGTGTGTGTGTGTGTGTGTGTGTGTTTACTGGAAGGTCAGCTAGCACTTGAGGTCGGGTTATTCAGAGTAAGACTGTGATCTCTCTCTGAATATATACAGATAAATGTGGTCATGACACTGATCAAGTTAAGAGGCATTAAATCTCAATCTGTCTAAAATGGAGTGGAAACCACTCAAACCAGCATGCACTTAACTTATCTATTGTTAATTAAAGGTTTGTTGTTATTGATAGGCACTGAATAGCAGACTGAAAAAAAGTTTTATCAACAAAATAAGTAGAATTGCTCACGGTGAACAGGGGGAACCCTCTTCTTTTTGCAATTATTATCAAAGATATTATCAAAGATACTGGATAGCATCGTTCATTTAGTTATGTTCATAGAGGAGTGAGATGTAAGGCTCAGTCTCTTTTGTACTTGTCTAATGGCCATATTGTAAGACAGGTTTATTATTCAAACCAATCATTTCATGAGAGCCTTCAGATGGACAATGCTCTTCACAAAATTGCACATTTGCTGCTGAGCTGCGTATTAATTCATCTGATATACACAATAGGAAATCTATTGTAGGGAACAATTGGAGATGCACTTTCAGTCTGTCTAAGCCCTTTCACTAAAGCTTTAAATGTAATTTTAATTCGCTTTGAATACATTAATAGTTTTCAGGGTGCATTAAATTGATCAAAAGTACTTTCGTCTAACCTTCTATTCATCCAAGAATCCTGAAGAAAAGTGCAACACAGTTTCCACAAAATTATTAAGCAGCACAACTGTTTTCATCAGTGATGATAATTAGAAATAAGAAATGTTTTTTGAGGACCAAATCAGAACATGTGACACTGAAGATTGGAGAAATGGCTGCTAAAAATTTAGCTTTGCCATCACAGGAATGAATGGAATTTTAAAATGATTAAAATACAAAATTTTTAAATGTATTAAATACAAAACAGATATTTTTAATTGCAAAATTTCACAATACTTCTGTGTTTATGGAATTTTTATCTAATAAATGCAGCCTTGGTGATCATTTTTGAAAGAGACTTCTTTCAAAAACGTTGGAAAAATCTTGCCGACCCCAAAATTTTGAACAGTCGTGTAGGCTACTATTCAAAAGTATAGTGTTTTTATGTTTGAATGTTTATTGTATTTTTATCTTTTAGATTTTTAGTATTGGAGAGATGCATTTATAATTGTCTCAACAGGTCTTATATAAAGTGTACATATCCTTTGTGGAAGTGGGACCAGGGAATGTTCACACCGTAGACTATTTTAAAGGAATTGGTCAGTACAAAATGTGTCAGTTGTTTCTTTCACACCATATAGTTGAGTATAATATTTTTAATGGGTTAATATTTACATGAAACAACTACTTTTTTTTTACATTCTCCTGCAATCATTCCAGTCTCCTTCCTCATTGTCAGCATTGGAGGGACTTTGGTTGGTCTCATCTTTGCTGTTATTCTGGCCTTCGTCACTCGTTTCACAAAGAAGGTGCGCATCATAGAGCCGCTGTTCATCTTCCTGTTGGTTTACCTGGCCTACCTGACGGCAGAACTCTTCTCTCTGTCCGCCATTCTTTCGTGAGTTTTGCCACTGCCAGTATACTCATCTTAATAATTTGAACATATTTGAAATTGAGTCTGCAAATTTGTACACAAACTCGAAATGAATTCAAAAGACAAATAATATACCGAATTACATATGAGAGAAATTATGAAATGTAGAAAGATTTGTGTGAGTATAAGGAATAGAAAAATCATTACCCTAGTATATAAAATCCGAAATCAATGGGATGTCCTCATCATGATAGAAACATTATTGTGTGTGTCTGTCCAGCTTTGTGACAAACACTGTGGTGGCTGACATTTAAAACGATATGAATAAGTTAAATGACAGGATTAAAGCTGAGAGGGAAATGATTCATGCCTTAAGAGTACTACAGTGTAAAATAGAGAGAAACATATGAGCATAATAGAGAAAGAAGAATACACACATCAGGGTCAGGGATAAATGATACATTGAATGAGAACTGTTGAGTTTGTTTATTTGTGTGAGCTGTGTATATGTGCACATGATGCTGAAAACATGAATATTTCCATGAAGAATTTTTCAGATTGTTTTCAAACCATGTGTGCAGAGCCGTAAATCTCAGTAGTCTTTGTGGCGGTCATAAATCACATAATGAGATTACGAGCAGAGGAATTAGATTATTAACCCATTTTTTAGTATTGCTTAGCACAGCAATAGAGCAGAATTCAAGATGCAGAGTCATGATTGGATACAAAAGATGAATTAAGGACAGGAATCAGTACTACTAGATATAAAGGAATGAACTCACATATAAATTTAAGTAAAAATGCCTGTTTGTCTGCTGATTTTGTAAGTATATGCTAATGCAGTTCATGTCTCTTCATCACACTTTCTGCACAAGGTGGTATGGATATAGAAATGAAATACTGTAAGCCACAATAGGATTTAAAGAGAAGGAGAAAAGGTCACTAGAGACTGGATTATTTGAATACAATCTCATCGATATAATTCTGCACTTCTGGTCTGTTCAATGAGTACTGCAGAGTGACTCATATATAACACAATGAGCAAAGCGCAATTCCTGTCTAAAGCTTACTAATGTATATGGAATGTAAATATAGGGATATCTCATATCTCTGTCTAAATATAGACATCAATCCAAAGGTACAAAGGTCCGAAACAATTCATAAGGACAATAACAACCTATCTATTAAACTCTAAACTATTATATTTATGATTTTGACATTTTTATGTATTATATACATCTATTGGATTCTACTATTCTATCAACATTATATATGTTATTGTTGATTCATGACAGGATGACTTTCTGTGGCATTGGCTGCAACAAGTATGTGGAAGCTAATATATCCCAGAAGTCCCGGACCACTGTGAAGTACACCATGAAAACCCTGGCCAGCATTGCAGAGACAATCATCTTCATCTTTTTGGGTATCTCAGCTGTGGACAAGTCCAAATGGGCCTGGGACACTGGCCTTGTTGTCAGCACACTCATATTTATCTTAGTCTTCAGGGCCATAGGTAAGAGAAAGTTCTATTCTATTCTATTCTATTCTATTCTATTCTATAGACCATTTTGCAAGATGTAAACAACACTGGTCCAGAAGCACTTCCTGTTTCAGTTTTTTAACACTACATAAAAGCTGGGATAAAATACAACCAACAGAACATATAAAACTGAATCAAAAAGTTAAACAAACACCTTTAAGATGTTTTCTTTACGTGTGAAATAAAGACCAAAAAAATGGTCTATTTCATTTTTTACATTTAATTTTTGGTACGTTTTGGTTACCGAAGTTAAAAACAAAAAGAGAACTCTCACTAAAATTTCTTTACTCACAGCTACACAATTAACTTACACTTTGGCTACATACTATACTGTATGGTAAATGTACCATGTATTTTCATCTGATATTTATTTGATTACTTGTCATTTATAATGGGTTGAGATGCAAAATTAGTCTTGCACAATACATTTACAATGTTTAATAGCCTCGGTTCTAACACTAAGCATATGTATTTGCTCAACATGTTATTTGCAGGTGTAGTAGGACAGACTTGGTTCCTGAACTGGTTTAGACTGGTTCCGCTTGACAAGATTGACCAAGTGGTGATGTCATATGGCGGTCTCAGAGGAGCTGTGGCCTTTGCTCTGGTGGTTCTTTTAGACAAAAAACATGTGAAGGCTAAAGACTACTTTGTGGCAACAACCATAGTTGTGGTTTTCTTCACAGTCATGTTTCAGGTAACTCTTTTAGAAGTTTCTGTATTCCTCCCATTTTTGTGTTTTCCCTCCCCTTCATGTTCACAGAATAATTTTGTGGTGATAGAAGAGTTCTTTCTTTTCTTTCTGTTTCATCTTTCCTCAGGCTGTGATTATTATCATTACTTGTATGTGTGTGGGTAGCATACAGGTAATAGCCTTTCAGGAATGACATTTTTCCTCCGCTCTGTTAAATTGCTGTTATTTTCAAAGCTATTCTGAAACAGAGATGCTAATTATAATGAATGGAGTGCTTTTGATGGTACTGCCTATGTGTAAGTGTTTGTGGGTGTGGCACCCATCTGGCCACTTCCAGCCTTTTTACCCTATTCCAATTTCATCTATTATTCATGGCTGCACAATTTTTATAGAGTGTCTATGCGTGTGTTGTCAATGTCATATTCGTGCATCCAACATGTCACAGAATATCTGACTTCTGAAATCATCAGATACTGCCAAGCTTTGGTTTGGAATCCTACAAATATGCACGCTTGTTAGACAAGTATGCATTGTTGTTTTTTCTGTAACAGGTAGTTGTGGATAAACTGTATTGTGTTTTTTTTTTAAATTGAGTATAGCTTTTAAAACATTTAAAACATTAATTACATAAATATATTTATATATTCAAATAATATACATTTTGTTAGTCTGTGTCATTGATGGGGATTTTTCAGAGGATCTTTCTACAGCTTATATCAATTCACCAGTAGGTGGCTTCTAGAGACTGTCTATACTAGTGGGCCACTGAATCATTAATCTAGCTTGCTGATTCATTAAAAAAAAAAAAAAAAAAACTGGCTATGTCCCAATTTGCCTACTCATACTACACCCTAAAAGTATGTACTGTTTTTGTGAAGAAAAAGTACATACTTTTGAGTGTGTAGCAAATCATCTTTAACGGACAGCTCTGTCGCGCGCAACTATCACCGTAAACTGCCCTGTCAATTATCTCGTCACAGTTAAAATCCTCGATTCAATTTAATATAATTTCTTACCATTTCGGAGAGAAATGTTGTCACATTCGTCTGCCAGTCGTGTGTCTTTCATGTGGAGACTCTCCTCATGTGTTTGCAATTTGAATGTAATGATGCACTTTAAAGTTAATGGCTATAAACCTATCATTACAAAAATTCTAAATGCTAGGCTACTGCAGATGCAATATAATAATGTAGACAACATTGGATAAATACATTTTGGTGAGGTTAGATAGTGATAATGAATCACTCAAACCCCATAAACATCTCTACACAACTGCCGGACTCGCGCGTCCTCCATGTCTGTAGTTGTTTAACCCTTTACAACTCGTGTTTGTAGTTCTAACCGAATCCTCGTCCAACGCGCGATGGGTTGTGGTGGGCAATATTAGCCGTGTGCACATTGATCTGCACTTCGAATAGAGTGCCGTTATGACGTCACTTTGTAAGACAAGTCGGAAGTTTGCGGCACATGGGTTTCCTCGATCGAAAAGCTATGCATTTTCCCTATAGACTTTTGGAAAATCGCAAAAAATAAGATCTGTGTTTAACAAAAAGTTGTGACCCTTTCACGTTTTGTCTGTCAAGGTAATCTTTAGAAGTTATTCCAAAATGTATACAGGCTTTGTTAACCACAGACCTTATTTCAGGCGATTTAACAAAAACCCATTCAAAAATCCCATAGACTTAAGAGCAAGGGAACCGCAAGTGCTAAAATGCTAACTCACTTCCGCGTTTGGCCTACAAAGTGACGTCATAACTTCAGCACTCTATTCTGACCGGATATCAGTAGACCTGATCTTACTACAATATGTTTCACATGCTTGTTATTTAGGAACTAAACTTGAATGAGTGAGTCTGAGTCATTCACTAAAACGATTTGTTCAAAAACAGTGATTCATTCAGGTACGAAACACCCCTATAATTGTGTCGCTCAGATGTGTCGGTAACAATTAGATTATGCTTGTGCTTAATTTAAAACTTCTTTCACTGGTGGAGCAAAAATACACAAACTATCTTCTTGTTTTGTTGCAAATAACACACTCAGTATCACAAATATACCATATTAATTCTCATTAATCACACTCACAATCATGCTGGTCTAAATTCTATATACTATATTAGTTAAACAGCATTTTTTTCTAGTGTGATATTACTTGATTAGAGTAAAAGTGAAAGTTTATTTAAAAGACCAATGTTATTGCTACTTCCAAAAAAAAAGTGAGCTGTGATATTTAGTTGAAATCATTTGGATGGTGCCATCTCTCTGTTTTGTTGACATTTCCCAAATCTTCCCTCCCAGGGATTAACCATCAAGCCTTTAGTGAAATGGTTGAAAGTCCCACGCAGCACAAACAGAAAACCTACCATCAACGAAGAGATCCATGAGCGTGTGAGTCAATATCGCTTCTAACACTCTCACCTCTCTCACCTTTTCTGTTTCTCATCACCTGTCTCCCTCTGTCACTGCCTGTGGTGAAATGTGTGAGTGGTGATGTTGACCTTGCTATCTGTGCAGTGCTTGTGATCTGATGACTGAAACAGCAGCATTGCCACAGACAGACTGACGTTAGACTCTTTCCTTCCAATGAATTAATCATCAGAGCTCCTTTTTTTTTGCCTTTCCACAAATAGATGTGCACACATAGGCAGAGGTCACACAGCGCCTTGCCATTTGCCTCATCCTCTTTCTGAAGGCCTTACACACTCTGCTGCTCTATATGCACACTTGGGGACTCAGGGCTACCTGCTGAGCTCTCTAAAACCTGTGCTAAAGATAGACTGTAGTGCAGCTGAGCTGACAGAAGAGATTTGAAATAATAAAGGAGAGATTCTGAGAAAATAAAGGAGGATAGAAGAGAGATTCTCTTGGAAAGCAGCAGTTTCCCAAAGTTGTGTAGACCAAACAGAATTTAACTCCACACAATTGAAGATAGAATAGTGTTGCCTACTTTAGACTGATCTGCTCACAATTGCCGGTGTCTAGTTTATTTATAAAGAAATATTTTGAAAAACACCCATGTATTGTTTTTTTTTAAATGTCTGCAAAATATGTAGGATCTCAAGTGCACTTAAAAATAGCCATAGCTAATAAAATAAATCCAAATAAATAATTCAAATAAAATAGCCATGAATAATTTACAGATGCTCTGAACTCGTCTGTCTTTCTGTTTTCAGGCCTTTGACCACATTCTGACAGCTGTGGAGGACATTGCTGGTCTGAATGGCTACCATCACTGGAGAGACAAGTGAGTGGCACTTAGCAAAGATCGCTCGATAACTGTCTATTTTCATGATGAGAGATGTACTCATAAATATAAAAGAGCTACACGAATGCAATGTTGTGTTAAGTCTAATTTTTTTCTAGGTGGGAGCAATTTGACAAGAACTATTTGAGTAAGTTGCTGTTGAGAAAGTCTGTGTACCATAAGAGTGAACTGTGGGAGGCCTATCAGAAAATCAACATCAGAGATGCCATCAGTGTCATTGATCAGGTAAAAAGCTAATGCTGCTGCTTATCAGGTACTCAGTTAGTTACTTTTTATAAGGAAGGTTGCTGGAAAGTTTTCTCAAGGTGAAACTGGGTTAAGATTAGCTTTTCCTGTGTACTAATGGTATATGCCATACTGGTGTGATGCCATCTACCTTTTTTGTAAGGAGTTCCATCTCTATTATTGTTGAATTCAAATTGTTGACCACTAGATGGTGCCCACACTCAGGTAAATCAGTACTGGGTAAAATCAGCACTGCTGTGCAATACAACAATCAATCTGCTTTAAAAACACTACTAAAACTACTTTTATTTTCAGCTGCTTCTACTTTCTAAAGTGTTTCCTCATTCATACTCACTCACTCACACCTATGGATTTTAGCAGTAAGGTTTTCAATGAATTTTCATTTCTAAAAGTTTGAATGAACATTAATCATTGTTGTAATGGTAGTTCATTTTCTTATTTCTTAATATAAGTTATACTACAGTTACTGGGGTCTCTGTGGGTTGACTAAGAGTCTGGTTGGGGGTCCCTGGGGCTTTAAAGAGTGAAAGCCCCTGGATTATAGCATTGAGCAGAGGAAGCATCGAGATCTTTTCTGAGGCTCAAGAGAGTCGTTTGAGAAGAGCAGAGTATAATTCCTCCCTTTGTTAGTTACCCTGACGCCACGGTGTCTCTGCCAATACTGGTCCTTTGTAGGCATCTGATACCTGTCAGCTTCAACATCAAACATATCTACAAAAATACTGGCTGGAGATGGCATCATACAGAGAAAGATAAAGAGGAAAGAGAAAGAAGGGCCTCCAGTTAGTTTATGCACATCATAATTGTTACACACTGCCCACTTGATTCTTCTTTTAGTTTGTTTGTTAGTAATAATTAGTTTTTTCTCTTCACGTCTCCAAAGAAACAATGTGCTTGATCAGAAAATATTTTGAACACCTGGAATTTTAGTCATGCATGACTTTTGTCTTCCAGCAAGTTCATTTCCTGGCTTCCTGAGAGTAGTTATCAAGCTAATATTAGCACAAGATTAAGAGATAGAGAAACCTCTGTTCTCATTCAGACCACCCAGTGAAAGAGACACGGGATTATTCATCTGATTTTAGAAGGGGAAAAAACTAATTTATCAGCTATAATAATTAAAAAATATTAGTCTCTATGTTAGTCACATTTCTGCATGTCTTTCCCATTGTTTTGTTTGTACTTTGTATATATTTTCAATTCTCTGTGAAATAGGGCAAACAGACTGTTTATACCATTATTAATTGCTTATGCATATCAGGAAAGATAAGTCATTAGCCATATGCCAGAGGTATTTGTAGTAAGAGAAACCATCTATATGGAGAATGAAGAGCGGAGAGCTGTGTTACATCCACATTGAGACTGCTGAATTATTGAATATAATTGTGCACTTTGCATTGTATCTGTAATAGTGTTTTGAGATGATAGGTGATACTAAACTCAACTGTATACTCACATAGCTGGGCATTTAAGGAACATCAATCAATAGCCTGATACTTTGTGTATTAGCCAATCAGAATCAAGTTTAATATTTGGTGCTATTTGTCTCTCTCAGGGTGGGAATGTGTTGACTTCTGCTAGACTCTCTCTGCCTTCCATGGCCAGCAGAACCTCTTTCCCAGAGGTCACAAATGTTACCAACTACCTGTGAGTATCTTTTGTTTGTGAGCATCACAGAAAAAAAATCGTTTCATGATGCCCAGTAAAAATTGTATCTTGTTGCACAGTAAAAACTCCTTAAAATGACATTAAAAAGGCTCAAATTTTGACAAATGTAACACGTTTTTGGAAAAATGGATTATGTAAACCATTGAGTGTGATATTATATATCAAGATGTTGGAATTATTTTGTGATACTGTCTGATACTGTAACATCCATGATAACTTTTGTGTTTTTTTGTTCCAATAAAAAAAAGTTAAAAAAATTAAAAAATTTAAAAAAATAAATGAAGAGTTCAGATGCAAAAGTCTAAATGCCATTTGAAATTTTCTTCTAAAATGACCATTTTTATCAAGCTTGTATATTTAAGTCAGTAATTTCACTTAAATGACAATTAATAGGTAATCTTCATTGCCATTTAAGTGAAATTACTGAACTTAAATATACAAGCTTGATAAAAATGATCATTTTAGAAGAAAATTTCAAATGGCACTTAGAGGCTTTTGCATCTGAACTCTTCAAATATAACCCATCAAATATAGACTAACATTCAAAGGTAGTGTCTAAGATTTTTAAAATGTTTTTAAAAAAAAGTATCTTATGCTTACCAAGGCTGGATTTATTTAATCACAAAAACAGTAAAAACAGTAATTTTGTGTGTACAATTTTAAAATAAGTTAGTTCATAGTTCAAAAGAACAACATCTGTTTGAAATAGAAATCTGTTTTTGCATGTATTTAGTCACAATATAAAATATTGATTATATTTGAATTAATACATGCAATAAAAGATAAACTATGTTTAGCATTTTTTTATTTTCATAGGACATTTGAATGTGTGTGCAGACATGTTTTTGTGCATATCTGTGGTGTAAGTGTACATGTGTTTCCATACATGTTGGTTCCTGTAACTCTCTGTGTCTCTCAGGAGAGAGAACGGCAGTGGGGTGTGTCTAGACCTCCAGGTAATTGACACAGTGCCAGGAGCCAAGATAGAGGAAGAACTAGAGACACATCATGTGCTTGCTGGAAACCTCTACAAACCCAGGAGACGGGTACAGAACATGCCACACGCACACCCTCTCACTATAAAGTGCTCTGAAGCATGACATTGCATCAGTAAAATGGGTGATACTTTGCATGATGTGTTTGCTTCAGTTGACATTGACATCTCTTTCTCTGTACCTGCAGTACCAGTCCCACTACAGTCGCCACTTCATGACAGTGGGAGAAAAAGAGAGACAGGATAGGGAGGTGTTCCAGAGGAATATGCGCAACCGTCTGGAGTCCTTCAAATCCACTCGCTACAAGCGTCACAAGAAAGACCGCAGTCAGAAAAAGGCAAGGGCTCAAAACGGCAGAAAACCACACTTTAATTGAGTCAACTGGACCTGAGGGAGGCCATGGTAGTGTAGTACTGACAAGTATCCATGTATGTAAGGTCATTGTAGAGACGAGGTTAAAGTTTGTAGTTACTGATATGTATCATGACTGTGTGTGTCTGTGTGTGAGCAGCTTCTTGAGCAGATAATATTGTTTCTTGGGCAGCAAATCAGCATAAAATTATTTCTGAAGGATCATGTGACACTGAAGACTGGAGTAATGATGCTGAAAGTTCAGCTTTGTCATCACAAGAATACATTTTGTAGTATTAAAATAGGAATTGAAATATATTTTATTTGATATTGTAACAATATTTCACAATATTAATGTTTTTTCAAATAAATGCAGCCTTGGTGAGCAAAAGAGACATAATTAAAAAAAAAAATCTTACAGAGATACATTCACTTTGTTTTCCTACATTTTTTAAAATATTGATAATATCGTATTACAGCGAAAAGGGTCAGATGCAAAAGAGCAAGACGCCAGTGAAAAACCCAGACGAAATGTCAGCTGGCAGGACAAAGGTTGGTTATTGGATCTGCTATCTTTTAATGAAACTATTTTCTGATACTTAAAGTTCCCAGTGGATTGTGTAACATTTTTTAGCACATATGTCTGTAGACCCAGTTGTGGTTCCAATGGCACCTGAGGAGGATATACATGATCCTTCTGAACCAGATAAAGATGATGATGTGGGCATCACTTTTGTGGCTCGCAAAGCCCCAGAAACACCAAAGGAGAGACCAAAATCAGGTGAGATATGAACACGATTGTGATAAGAAAAGGTGAGAACTGATTGCTACCCATCTCCAACATTTCTATATCTTCTTGTTTATTTTTTTGTTTATTCAGTACCAGCTGCTCTGGATGTTTGTCAGAGCCCAGTTTCCGCCCCTCCCACACTGACATGTGGAGAGAAAACCCTGCCATGGAAAAATGGTGTGGGTTCTCTCCCTCCCTGTGTGTCTGTGGAGGCCACTAAAATTATCCCAATAGACCTGCAGCAGGCTTGGAACCAAAGCATCTCCTCTCTGGAGAGCCTGGCTTCTCCTCCAGAGCCCCTGCATCCACGTGTTAGCGCCCTCTCGAGGCTGGGAGGACCCCTGCGGACCCCCGCGAAGGGAAAAAGCGGTGGTGGCGCAGGATCAGGAAGTAATACAAGTTCCCCAAGTTCAGGGCCGTTGAAATTCCCTGCAGGGAAGGAGGAAGAGGAGGAAGGCACCCTCTCTCAGCAACAGCAAGAAATGCAGCCGCTAATGTCGTCTTTGAGGCCACCGCCGCCACCTCCTCCACCACCTGCTGCGCAATCCGCCGGAAAGAGAAGGAATCCTTGTGTATATCTTAGGAGTCTGGTGACAGTGCCATCTTCTGGTGGGGAGCCACAAAGCAGGAAGCCAACCAACTGTAAAATCACTTACTTCATTCATCTTACAGCTGGCATTTACTTCCTCGGGCCAGAGTTTATTTTTAAGTCGGCAAATTCATTTCTAAGAGACTATTAATTTGGTTTTCTTTTTTAGTGCTAATAGGTGACATGGGTTTAGAAAAGGTTGGTAGTTTGCTGAGGATCCAGTTCTTTGTGTGTACAGAGCAGTTCTTTCCTACAGGAAAACCGTTCCACTTTCTATGTTTTTTTTTGTTGTTTTTTTTTAGTTTGAAGTGATCTGCCCTGTATCATGTACCCCTGTATACGTGATTGTCAAAATGTTCAGCTACTGAACATATATAAGGCTAAACTACTTTCAAACGAGCCACTGGGCATGTCTGTTAAACAGTGTTTTTATCCAACTTTTCCTCCCTCACTCACACATAAAAGAACAGCAGATCATTTCATTGTTACTGTTTTAATCTTTAAATGACTCAATCCATCTTAAAACAAGAATGAATACCGACTGGGATGATAAAGTAACACATTTTCTTGCAGCACATCACAGAAAGCGCATGAGGTCAGGGTCACAGCCATTATCTCTCAATGGGCTTGGAATATGCATAACAAATCCCCACACACTATGTTGCGATGACAAATAATCCTTGATGATTGTCAGGAGCATTTATGATGTGTACGGGATACATAAGCTTCTATGCTGCACATTACCTGTTCTCTGTTGTGTTTGGCAAAAAAGCAAGGTCTGTTAATTTATTTTCTATTTATGTATCAACTTCATGCCTTTTATTCTTTTGCTTTCAAAATAACAGGATTTTGTGAATCTGTATTTTAATCTACAAAGCTACAGCTGTTTTAATAACCAAAGTGTTTAATGTTAATGTTTAATATTTATTTTTTTTTGTCTGTCTTTACTTCATTTTATGACACTATAATCATGAATAATTAATTGTGGATCATTAGAATTTGATGTGCCTTATCAGTTAGTAGTAGTAGGCCACAGACTCATCAATGTAATCTAATGCACTTTCTAATTTGTCTGACAATGACAAACATATAGCATACTGTACTCCAATTCTTCAGATGTCTTCATCCTTTAAGGTTCTATGCCATGAACGGGTATAGTATATTGAATTTGGGTTTTGCACTTTAAATGAAAAGCCATTTAGACCACTTTACCTGTGGTGTGTTTTTGAAGCTGCTTGCCTATTCTTTTGCATTGCTGTGTAATTCTGTGTATGTCCTGAGGATTGTTGTGCCTTGAGAGGGACGGTGTTATATGTTAAGGAGGCCTTGTTGATCTCTATTGTGCCTGTGAACAGTATGGAGTGGGTCAGCATTGTCTTACTTGAACTTGTCGTGTTAGCAAAAATGTTAACCTAATCATTTTGACCCCATTGAATTGGAATTGGAATTAAATGATCCACCTATTAAATTAAAAATTAATTTTCAGATCTTTTCTCCCATGTGTTTTTTTTAATACTGTAGGTATGTTTATGTGGTGTGTATGTGCCAAATAGTGAATTTGAACAGCTGCAGGAAGGAATAAAGTTAACAAAAGAGAGGACAGCGCTTTTGAATGCCAGTGTTTGTCTCCTCTTTGCATGTACATTTTTTTAATGTTAGATGAAAGCATATTCTTTATATTTTTTTATTTTTGTCATATTTAGCTGGTCTCAGCTGGTAGCCTACTGTATTTCATCTGTAGGTAGATCCTCAGGGACCGGTGAAGGAAACCCTTGGTGAATAATGAAGTTATATTCCCCCTTCAACCCAGGAGTCCCTGTGGTTTAGGCAGGGCTTCCCTAGACTGCCCTCAAAAGACGACAGCGCATTTATGTGCTAATGTGCCATTTTCCCTTCCTCAACCCCTGAAACAGATCCTAACCAGCAATGAAGTCATTGGCGAGAGAACAAAAGATGGATTTGAATGTGGGGACTTTAAACTGATTCCACCAAGTGATTTTCCCATCTGACTAAATATCAGGGTTTGTTGTTTTTGCCCCTCTTTACTAATTCAGGGAGTTCACAGGCCATGTTCATAGAGAACCATTTTTTATAGGCACTTTTGACATGAATTTCAGAAACTTGAAATTTGCTACAAATGTAATTTAGCATCCAACAGTATATATCATTTTTGTTAAATCCCCCCCCCCTTTAAAAATGTCTAACTTTATTTTGTACTTAAGTCTATTACTAGCTAGAACTTTATATATCCTACACACAATTAAATAACATTTTCATACTTTTTTTCCAGTAATTTTGCTAACCTTTGTGTTTATTTTGGAAATAACACACACAATAAATATAGGCTATTTTGTTCACAAACTACCATGATCTTTCATTATTTTCTTTCATAACACATATAATGTGTTATATTTCAACTCAAAAGAGGCCTATGTATGTACTAAAATCAAATTAATGGGGGAGGGAGAAATGGCAAATTTATCCTTTTAGCTTAATATTATTATTATTATTTTTTTTTTACAATAGTTTTAGTTTTTATTTAGTTTGTTAGCTATTTATTACACTTTAAAACAACATTTTTTTAACAATCCTATAAAACTTATTAAAAAAAAAACAGCATTTTCTTTGCACATAGCTGCATTTAAATTCTTCCGCCAAGTAATATAGGTCTCCGTTTAGTGTTTCAAACAGGTTTCGAAGCGACATCGCGCATTAATATTTCGACGATGACTTCGCAACGAGTTCGGAGTTTCGACGAGGGTTATGGGTAACGTTAGTCCCGAACTTTCCGATTGAAGATAAAGTTGTAACGTATTAGACAACAACCTACAATGTTTAGGCACTAACTAGCAATCTAGCTAGTTAGGAATAAAGAAGGTGCATTTGTTTTGGATTTCTGTCAACTTCACCGCACATCGCCTCAGGTAACATACTAGCAATTATCGCTTTGTCACACTGTCAAATCCACAAAAAATGTCTTAGATAACGTTAGTTCATGATAGTGCAAGTGAATAAGCAGACATATCCAATATGCAAAGTCTGTAAGCTAAACGCATTGCATTTAACGTTAAATGGTGAAAGTGACGTTTTACAGCTGGTCTCGGGTCTGAAAGGGAAGTTGTTTACCCATAAAAATTGTGAAATCTGAAAATCAGTTGGCATTAACGTTAGGCCACAACCTCCTTCCTTGGGACTTAACTCTTGCAAAGTTGTGGAATAGGCCCACAGAAAATGTTGGGACTGGATGTAACTGTGCCAAGAGAACCAGACAAAAGAGCCCCATTAAGGTCATTAGGAAACCGCCTGATAGGTGATTTAGAAGAATGTAAATGGAGGACATTTAGTACAAAAGACACGGGCCTGCCTGTTAAAGGTGGATTAACTTGTACATTTGTGTAATTGTTTTTTTCTATTTGCTGGCAGTGCATTGTCCTCCACCCCTGTGTAATGATGACAGTTGCTTGTACACCAGGTTTTTCTCGTTATATAAGATATATAAACTTGCAGTGCAATTTCAGGGGTGTGTCTTCTGAGGAGGCAAGGTGGGTACTGACAGCCTCCTCAAGAGGGGAATTGAGAATGAATGGGGGCAATGCATCCATAGCTTTATGATTGGATTGAATAGAATGTGATTGGTTTGTGCGATAAATCCCGCCTCTTGGTTTTGAATTTAGGAATTTATTAACAATGAAATTATGAATCAACTTACAATGTCCCTGATAATTTTTTCTTCTTCTGATAATCTGGATTTACCGGTACTTGTCTGCAGACATCAAGTAATATTGTGGTCTAAAAAAGTCTGGAGGGTGTACCAATTTTCGTATTACCTTGAACTTCATGGTTTAACTGATGTAATTAACCTGCCTGGGAGTTGGCAGGTATCTGTATAAATCACTCACTAATTAAAGGGTGTGAGCATGCACTGTCATATGTGTGTATAGTACTGAAAGAACGTACAGAAATGTGTAAATGACATTTCTTTCCTTTCCAGAGTTATTTTACCATTTTCCGAGAATGGCGTTTAGTGGGCTGCTTCTAGGATATTCTGTTCATTATATTTGTGTGTGATTGATAAATAACCTGCATCACAAACTCAGAACTAGGAATAATAATAAAAAAAAACATTGTCACTAACTCAAGCAATGAATCCCAAAACTTTCAGAGCACCTCCATGCTGTCTTCCTGGTGCACATTAAAGTGATCAAAGCTGCAGTAGTGTGTGGAAATCACTGTAGCTGCCATCCCTTGTGGAGAAGTCCAAGAACGACGCTATTCTTTCAGGACTTAATTGTGGGGCTGTGTTCATACTGCTCTCTCCTTATTGGCTGGGTGAAAATTGTTCCCCCGGCTGGAAAACCTGCTCACATTCTTAAAAGACACTTTGCATTGTCACTGTGCAGCAGATCATCCGATATCTGGCTGATCTGTCAGTGGGACCTCCAAAACCGAGAACAGGAATTTTCCACGTCAGGCTGGAGCACTAGCTGATTAGAGGTCCACGAGTTCTGTGAATGGGCCCCTTCTGGGTATTAAATCACAATTGTAATCATGTGTGTTTTTCCTGAGTAGTGTGTCATATCACGTACATAGTTTTTATTAATGGCTAGTATTCCAAAGCAAATGACATCAGATGAGGTTTTGCCACCCTGTCTTTTCCATTGATGAAACATTCATGGTGGTCTGTGCCAAAACATTCACAATTAAGCGATGTGTCAGTCTTGTACAAACGTGTGAAAAGAAAATGATTCTCAAAACAAAGTAGAGCTATTATAAAACATGTTCCGTGATTTTAAAAAGTACAGCCTCTGGCCATTTTTGACATGTCATAATCGCTCTTTTTTTTTTTTCCAGGTTATTTTCCAGAATGTGTGTACTTGCTTTTTGTAGATTGCACAACTGTCTGCTCATCTATTTATCCATCTGTCTGTCTGAATATTTAGGATTCTCAATAGATTTTATAGCAGTTATGTGTGTGTGTGTGTGTGTGTGCGGTATATGGGTTCTTTGGAAAATGTTGTTTTTTATTTTCAATTGAATCAGATGTATAACAGAATCTAGTATTTCTACAAGAACATGGATTAGAAAGTAAACTGTCAGTCCAGAAGGAGAAGGAAAGGAACTGTGTGTGTTACATTTCCATTTGGGCTGATGATGTGGTGAATTAAGATTCGTTGTTTTGCCAATTGGCATATAAATACACATTTTGAACTGAAAGCGATTTGCGGATGGTTTGAAACTGGTTGGTTGTCACATTAAAATAGAGTTAATGTGAATGTTAGTTGTTGTTGGGTTTTTTATGCTCTTTTGAAAACTCAGGCACATAACGTGTGATGGTAGAATATACGGCTGTAAATAACTGCGTTCTGTCCACTGGTGTGTGTGTGTCATAAGCCTTCATATGTCCTTCAGAACCTGAACTTTACAATGTTAGTAACATATGAAATCTAACACAACGGACCAAAAATGCTTGTTATACGTTTAGTTTGATGGCTAGTCAAGTATTTTATTGCAGCTGGTCAGGTCGTAATCAGCCAGATCTCATGCACCAGAACTATCTTCAGAATGTATTTTTTTTTCCTCTTCTTCTTTCCAAATGCGCTTTTCCATTACCAGTACCAGCTCGACTCGACTCGGCTCGACTCGGCTCGGCTCAACTCGCTTTTCGCTCCATTTTCCATTGCAGACAGTACCACCACAAATAGTACCCAGTCGTCATAGCGGCACCTTTCATTCCTCTTTGCCCCACCCAAACAAAGCAATGTCTGCACCTCCTCGTTTGACCACGGCGTTTTATTCTGAGTTGCCGTAATAATAGTAATACAGTAAGTTTAATAACTATCTCTGGCCAAACTATTTGAGCTTGGCGGGGTTATTCTGGATACTCCATCTGGCGCATGCAATGATGACGCAGAGAATGGTGACGATTCTCTCTGAACAATCAGCGGTCGGCATTGTTTTCACAAGACATTTTAGTATCGCCTCAGCTCGCCTCAGCTTGCTCAGAACCTCGCCGGAGGTGATGCAAAAAAAAGTACCCCAAAGCAGGATTCAGGTACAACTTTTACACAGTGGAAAACCAAACAAAGGCTGTGTAGTGGAAAAGCACCATAAAGTGTCTGATTTCATAACTGTGCAACTAATGTGTTTAAGTGCATTTCTAGAGATTTAAATAAAGGTGGATGAGTAACAAAAACAGTAAAGCTTTTTTTTGTTGTGTTAGTGTACAATGTTTGATGTTTCACAAAATTTGTGCGGTCACAGTAGCGAAACCTCAGCTAATATTTTGGGCAAAGTAGGTCCATTGTAAATATCCATAAACCAACAAATTTGTGTGTTAAAAAAGTTTAACAAAGTTAAATCTGATTATTCCATGTGGTGAATTATTTTTTCTTGTGAAATTCCCGATTTCTTGGATTCCTGTTGTTCTGATTTCTCTGTCCTAGTTGGCTATTATTCAGGTTTTTTTTTGCGTGTGAAATTTTAAAGG